TCCAAGCCGAGGGGCTTCTGTAAGCTTGGTCTTCTCTTTGGTTTTCCCAATGTGCTGGAGGAGCTCCTGGAATTGAACTGCGGTCAATGGTGCTGCAGTCATGGTTGGAGGATCAGAAGGTGGGATGATTGGATCAGATTCAAAGAAGGCTTGTCTGAAGCCTTGTGGACTGAACAAGGATGCTGATGCTGGCGCTGCTGTTGAAGATGAAGATGCTGAGGCAGAGGAAGCGTCGTCAAGGTCCATCAAGTGAGAATCAACAAGAGAAACAACAAGAGGGCAATGACAACAATAGGAGGAGCGGCAGCTGGAGCGCGGTGGATATCCAGTCAATCGAGTCAATCGAAGATGGAATTTATGAGTGGTTGATGCTGGATCCTTCGTTGGATTTGGGTTCGTCGTGGTCTTCGAGCAGTTTGAATTCAAACTACTCGAGGATGCGTACGGATCGCACTGAGCGATCGATCGCTCGCGATGTAAACGATCAACTGAAAATTCATTCAAACGACAAACTGCAAGCCAGCAACCTTCTTTGTTAGAACGACCGATGCCAGTCCTAGGTAGCAAACAGAGACCAATGACAACGCTCGTGTTGTTGTTGTTCTTCTCGCACGTGAGGTTCGGTCGATCGCTCGCGTTGTTGTTCACGTATGTTCGATTTAAAATGAAAAAGTGAGGTGTTCGTGAAGAAGACATAAACCAGGCATGACTCAGGCAGTTCGAATCGCTAGTAAAGGGTGAAATGGCTCCCGAAGCATGACTCAAGGCATGACACACAGGCCGAGCCTTATTGCGTTCTAACCTCATTTTTCGATGAATTTTGTTAACTCGGATTCTGTTAACTCGGCCGATCGATCGATCCATGCTGAAGCTGAGCATGGCCAAGGCTTTGCCGGTGATAGAGATAACAGTAGTAGCAGTAGAAGCAATAGTAGTAGTAGCCGTAACAGTATTAGTAGCGGCTTCTTTGGCGCTCGGTTGATCGCAAAAGGTGGACTCCCATAGGAGTCCATTGTTTAAAATAAGGTCCTCATCGCGATTTCGATCAACGACAGGATGAAAGGTGGACTCCTGTAGGAGTCCATGGTTGCGATTGCTTATGAGCGAATCAACAGCAACAATGTTGGCAAGGGGATTGCTTGCGAGCGAATCCAAGGGAATTAAGTTGCAATAAGGGGAAGGACTACCGATGAAGATAATGAGAGGAAACTCAGGACTCTGCATCAAGGGATAGCTCATTCCATTGACAACCATAAGGGATAGACATATAAGAATAAGAATGAGTAACATCTCATAACCTCGCATGCTACCATGCGACAATACCATTGTGGATTGATTAATCTAACGATCTAAGAGATGTAAAGTTTGTATTTCCAAATAAGTGAGCAGTTATTGATTATTTTCTAGAATAAGCCTGCTAATTGTAAAGCTGTAAAGCTGAATTGTAAGCTGTATCCCGTCGCACTGGATTGGGCGATGGACCCTGAGCAAGGCGGGATCAGTCCTGATCTGTTTGGACCTGGACTTTTGGGTGTTTCCTTCATGACTATTATCGAAGCTGGCTTTGTCTTTAGTGGCAATGTCGGGACTGGAATCGTCTTGGCGCGTCAACCAGATGGCAGTTGGAGTCCTCCCAGTGCCGTTGGCATTAGTGGATTGGGGTGGGGGGTCATTATGGGTGCCAGTCTCAAGCATATTGTCTACTTGATCTACGAACCACAAACCATAAAAGCCATGGCGGGGGACGTGGGAGTCACCTTGGGGGCGCAGGTCGAAGCATCTATTGGAAATTGGGGACGTACTGCTGCCATCTCCAATATCATTTCCAACAAAGGATTGGGTAGTAATGTAGGACTCAGCTACAGCCAAGGAATGTTTGGTGGAGTCAGCATGGAAGGAGCGCTCTGCAACCCAAGGACAAGAGTCAATGAAAAATTCTACGGAAAAAAGCTCACTCCCAAGCAGATACTCTTCTCGTCATCACAAGATCAAGATTCTATTTCAGTGCAAGTGCCAGAGGGAACTCTCTATCCTCAAATCGTTGCCAAACTAGATAAGCTTTGCTCCGGTAATGCCATATACCAACCTACTGCAGAACAAAAGGCATTCACAGAATCGGTCCGACAACAGGCCGACAAGGAAGGTGAGGAAGCACTCGCACACGAACATGTGCAATACGTGAATGTCAAGAACCAACAACCAGTTGTTGCAGATGGAGAAACCATCTTTACAACGTTGCTGAGCTGAGCTGAGCTGAGCTGTGTTACGAGAATGGTCGAAGCCTTTTTTCATTGGTGTCACCGAAGGCACGGTATGGAACTGCAGATGGAACCACAGCCACGATGGATGACAGCTTCGTTTGCAGGATTTTCGTTCCTTGTCGCGGCCCATATCGGCTGTATGCATATGCGAAACTCCCGTCCAACCATTGATGCAAGCACTAACGGAAATGGGAAGCCGCAGAAGAATGAACCAAGATCTAGTAAGCTTCTTCAACTCGAAAGAAATCGATACCCTTTTCTTATTAAAATTAAAGTATGCATACCGTAGCAGCCAGAACTTGAGACCACAGAGAGCGGGTGTTCAGATATTGGTTTCAAAGCAAAATGAATGATTCTTGCGTGGTCGTACCCTGCAGTTGGGCAAGGCAAAGAACCACAGTCCCCCGATTGGTCTAGCGACAGCAACGAGCCACTGGCAGTGCTAGCTAGCTAGAGTACGATCACAGATGATTCTTGTAGTCTCTTTGCCAGCCATGCGGTCATGCGGTACTTGATCTTGTACACGCAATTGTCACTGCGTAATTTTCCATGGATCATGGAAGCATGGAAGATGGAAGACACTTGCAGTTTCCCCATTCACAGTCTCTTGCTCCTTGGTCCGAAAATGGCTATGCCAAGCATTCCAAAAGAACCCTGGAGCAATAGTGCTGCATGGTCTTACAGCTGTCTTACCCCGTTTCTTGGACGAAACCCGCCAAGAAAGAATTACAGCCCAGCTCAGCCACAGCAACGACAAGGTTGGAACTGGTTCACACAGGTACACCAATACTCAGTATGCTTTAAGATTCCTTGACTTGCCCCGCCATCTACCGGTGCCTAGCTAGCCAGCAGAGAACGTTCCTGCATGGGCCCCACAACCCACAATGCCCCCACCGCCAAATGCAAGGTGGAGATGTTAGCTTGATAGCTTGATAGCTCGCCTGAGATCGCCGGTCCACTTGCGCGAATAAAAGGACAACAGCCAAGCATTATGCTGGTTAAATGGTTGTTTACTTGAATCTAAAAGGACACGTGCACTCCTTCACCGAAGAGACATTTAATTTTTAGATTTAAAGGCCTCAAGAGCTCCTTCAACATGTACCAGTACCAGAGTACCAGTACTTAATTTTCGCCTACGGTACGGTACAGCAAAGCAGGCGTCAATTGTCGTACCGGTACGCTACCACCAATAGCTGGGACTGAAGACTGAAGTACACTCCTCCGTACCGGTATGCCATACAGATACCGTGGCTGGCAGCACCACGCTACATCGAATAGCTCATCTAACTAATAAGAAGGGAAGATTGTAGAGGCTACCGTACAGATCAAGCTAAGAATTGGACTTATGTATTTGATTTGGTTGGAATAATGCAACATGAAGTGTTGTACCTGCTTTTGTGGACCTGTATGAACTGAAAGTGCATTGTTTAGATGCCCTTCTTCGGCTTGACGTCTCCGGTATCGTTGGCATGGGTAACGGTAAGTGTGTTCAGCGCTTTGGGGGCTGTGACGTAGGTCAATGTTTCGTGAAAGACGGCATGGATCAGCATTCTCCACGTAGCACAAGTTGCAAAGATGATACTTGCCACCTGTACCATCACTGGCCAGAAGAAGATGAGCTGCAACCACTCTCCAAGTGAACGTTTCATCATCAAGGAACGACCAGACAAGATGTAGCGATACAAGAAGAGCTCTCGGATGATCATCTTGACCCAGTTGTAAAGAGTCACAGCCAAGTACGAACCGACAATCAAGTATTGGGTCTCAGGACCGAGGGCGAAGAAAATGTCTCGGATGGGACGGAAGAGGAAGTAGAGGAAGAGAGGAATGCACACGCCAAACATTTGGCTACAAACACGTCCAAACATGACAAGCCACTGGTTCAGGCGGATCACGGGGAACAGGGATGCAACAAAGGCTGCCTCCTCGATGCCCCACATGTGCCTCTTGGCTTGGATCCAGCGGTCTTGAAAGCCTGTGACTGAGTCATTGAGGATTAGAGACCAGACTTTGACCACAACAGACTCGCCCAGTCCTGTCATGGCCATGGCCTTCAAGGTAGTATGGAAGTCTTCGGAAGTATTGGAGGGATCCCAGAAGTTCATCTCGTGGGCGAATCCAAGAGTGAGGGAGTAGTTTGACTGGGCGGGACGGAAACCGGTCATTCCATTGAAGGTATCGAACTGACAGCGCAAGACTTCAAAGGCTCGGACCAAGCCATTGCACTCTGGAAGGTTGCGGTATGTGTTGATCGGAGAGTTGTAGATGAAGCGTCGTCCATCAGGCATTCGGCAATATTCAGCCTCGACTTGCTCGAAGAAGACGCGATCGAACAGACTGTCAGCATCGCAGGTGGTGACCATGACTTGGAACGGGTCCATGCCTTGCTGCTGCACAAACTTGAATAGTTCTTGACAAGCAAAGTTCTCGTTGCTGCTCTTCCCGATAATCTCTCCTTCAGCTAGCTTGTGGCTGGTCTTGAAGAAAGCACAGAAGGACGAAGCAAACTCTTGATCCAGGCACTGGAAGGTAGAGTTTGCAGTGGGGTCACGTTCCTCGCATGCGAGAACGACAATGGTGTTGTCTGCAAGAGTGTTGTCGGCAATGCTCTGAATGGTGGCCCTGAGTGTCTCCAAGGGTTCCTTGTAGTTGCACACAATGACAGCATGGGTAAGACGGGGAATGTGATCTGGCAGGTGGCGGCGTCTGCGGCCACGAAGCAACATGATGCCAGTTGTAATATCAGCAATGACATCGCAGGCAACTCCAAGGGCGACAAGCGCGCCAAGAAGGAGCATGGTGAACTGGTTCATTCGCAAAAGGTTCTCAAAGAATTGCAAAGCTCCGTTCTTGACAAGGAGAGGTGCCCAGTAGTACGAGAAGAAGAGCATGTACGAGAATGTGCACATGGGAAGCAAGATTAGATATTTGAGCCATGGCCTTGCTTCACTCTGCAGGGGCACGGAGAAGCGGCCCTTGCTGATGGTGGGTTCCAGGATGAAATCCATCCAAGTCCTCGACATCGCTGCGGGCGTTTCCATCAACAGGGGTTTGTTGAGGGCAGCATAGTCTCCGCATCCACGTCCCTCTTCAAGGGAGTTCAGGGAGACGCTATCGTCACAATTGACGGTCTCTGAGGTGAGGCTGGAGCTGCTGAGCCTTTTGCGGCTTGAAATGAATCGGTGATTAATGGCAGTAACGTTCATGGTTCAGGTGGGCGCGTGTGTTTGTAGTTGGGGCTTTTGGCGTTTGTGTTTCCAAAGTTGTGAGCAAAGCAACCAGAGATGTTGGAGACTATTTCCGGAAGCAATCTTGTTTGGTTGAAGCACCTTACTGTTTGCAACTGCAGTCTGCTTTCTTTCTATGCATCCACAGAGCACATCGCAATAGATTCGATTCTGATGTGGGGATGCTCCAATGCCTGGGTTTCGCTTTAGGTTTTGGTGACGACAATCTTGGCAACTCGCTGCAACGAAGAACTTGGTGATCGGAGATTCTACTACTGCCGTACCATTATCTGCAGGTCATTGAACACGCCGGCCATTCTTGCCAATTTTCAGTGGGACTCGATATCTTTTGGGTGGCTGTGCTTCGATGCATGGATGGAGCTGGAAAACAGGTTCATCGCCGCCTTGCCCACCGGTCATGCGATACAGCGCGTATACAGGCAGCCGAGTTGCAGAGCCACGATGTTGAGTTCTGTTCTCCTTGTGTACACCATGCTTCTGGCCCACAATGAGCCTTAGCTCTGACCCGTTGCATTTCCTTTTTCACCCACATTTCTTTCTTCACACTGTCAAATCCCTGTCAAACAAGCAACTTGAAAGCTAGCTACCGTACATGATGAAACCGATAATTGCTACAAACCAAAGTTCGCTTCCCATCACTATGGCTATCCCTTCGAGCTCGTCTTCAGTTGCTACAAGCAACGTGAACTCGGAAATCAAAGACAAAGAGCGCCCCACAACGAAGCCTCGCCACTATGGCTACGACAACTGCAAATTGATTTTCATGTTGCTAGTTGTCCTCTGGCACACGGCTCACTTTAACATTCTAGAAGCATCGCTGCTTTGGAGCGCTTCAGTCACCGGAGCAAACGACACGGAAGCTTCGAGTCATTGGTGGGATCGAGTGAGCAACGGACAGCTCTCGCACCATTTCCTGTGGACACCTTTCGTATCACACTGTGTGGCCCGCTATTGGCTATGGACCGAGAAACTTGCGGTCCCAGGCTTTGCCTTTCTGTCGGGTTATTTTGGTAAGAGCTTTCTTCAGACAAGTTCAATCGATAGAGGCGGGGACGCAGTTGAGCAACTGACATCTCTACAAGTTGGGCAGCGGAAAGAACGAGTTCGCTGGGAGAGGACTATTTCAACATTGCTGCTTGGGCCTCTCCTTTGGCAAGCATTGTCTTGGTTCGTTGGCGGCCTTGTCTCCAGCATCTACTATGGAGCCTGGTCCTTTGCAGCCAACGACCAGCTAGAACTTTGGGACTACCTTGGGTCATGGTACCTCTTTGCATTGCTCCTGTGGCGTGTTTGGACATCTATCTTCCTGTCCAAGCTGAGACAAGATCGCCAGTTCCCGCTGCTGGTGTCAATTATTTTGGCCGTTCTTTCGGCCCACACTAATCGAGGTGGTCCCCAAGAGATGAGAATGCGTCTATTCTATTTCTTCCCGTATTACGTTGCTGGGCTGTATTGCACTGAAGAAACTTGGAACACCTTGATCCGTCAGAGCTGTAGGATAGGTGGTGTCAAGTCGAAACAAGTGGACCGTTGCAGCAGGTTTCTGGGCGGTTTGGGAATCATTCTTACCCTCCTCATTTGCCAAGTTGTGCCAAGAGAACATTTGGGTTGGAAATACACTATTGACACCTACGCCCTGCAGCCTCATCTTGTCTTTCTATTCCAGTATCTTCTGGCGGGGGCTGCAGTTGTGTCGGTGATCCTGGTCGTCAAGACTGTTCGGGTGCCTCTCTTTCCCTTTGGTCACAGCAACTCCACATTGGCAATCTATGAAGCCCATTGGCCTGTCGCCAACTTGTTGGCTTGGGGTACCCTGCCATACACGGCCATCTCAACTACAAATACGTCCGCTATCCAGTGGTGTTTCTCCGATTTGTCACCAGTCCCAACTTTGCTATGTGTTCACCTTATTTGCTACCTGATATGCGTTGCATTGGGAAGCCGCCTAATGTGGGATAGGCTGTTGCGCCATGCATGTGACCCACAATGGATCTGTCGCTGGCTGTTTCAGCCTCAAGAGCAGGCTGAATCTTACTCCCCTGCCCCCCCTGGCTCATCTATCAAAAAGCTTTCTCCTCCTCATTTGGTTTGAACTTTAAACTTTAAACGACGACTGTCCCTTTGATAACAAAACGTACATAGCCACAATTGTTATCAAACTAGAGCTAAGAATTGCGCTGTACGGTACATCCGCATCTCCTTTGCGTTTCTGTGATTCTACGATGACGGTACCGGTACTGGTACTCGTAAGACCTACGCATCCCGGTCATTTTTGGCCATGGTCGACCTTCTTCGAGCCACCTGATGACAATGGTTTGGTCGCGCGAAAACAGGGAAGACTCGACTCGACTCGACTAACTCGACTTGAGCTACCACCACACCACCGCAGTATTTGCGTAAGCAAATGCGTAAATAAATTACTACGGATTCGCGAAGAACTGTCTTTTCCCCAGTGCTGAAGCGGATTTCCCACAACCGGAAGGAGATTTTCCTTCCCGGTACATAAGTTGTGTTGGTTTCTACCTGAGCCGGAATCCGAACTCGATTGACGAAACGGTTCAATCCTTTCAGGCCTACCACTATCCTTAAAAAGAGAACGTCTCTTAAGTGGAAATTTGCTTCAGGACCTCCGAAATCCGCTTCGGGTCCTCTGAAATTGGCTTCCGAGGGTGGAAAATCGGCTTCTGACCAAGGGAAAGGACAATTCAATCCGAATCCGTAGTAAGTCCCACAGCAGATGCATGCAAAAGATCTTTTTGCTCCGATCCAACCCGAAGATCGACAGAGCTTCTTTTTCGCAAGATCCTAACAATCGTGTGAAACTCAAACGCAGCTCAGTTGCTATAGCATTACCCCATAGGGCGCAAGACTACCCCTCTATGCTGCCAAGCATTGACGTTATTGTCGCTGGGCTCCATGGCTACCATAGCCAGCACAAGCCAGCATTGCGCCTGCCTATGGACTGTTCTCCACCAAAGCATCGTGAGTGTGCCATAAAATTCACACAACCCAAAACTCAATTCAAGCAAACCAAAACCCTTTATCCGGATAGCAGTGGTCTAGGCAGCTGCATTCGCACACAAGAAAGCACTACGACCATACAACACAAGATGATCGACAACAAAACTTCTTCCTGGCTTCGACGAGGCAAAAGGAGTGCCGCTTTAACCATGACGTTTCTGCTTGCAGCTGCCATCTTGTCACTTCGGTGTTCCTATAGTGTGGAACACAAGCAGGACCGGGAACTATCGGGGCATGATCAACTTCCCCTGCGAAGACAGGCGCCACAGCAAAACGGTGGCGACATGAAGCCAAAGACCTGGTGCCGTACTCCGGAAGAATACAATCGGGGTCAGTGGGTGTACAACGATTCCTCTGATGTTACGTATCCCTACTTGAGCGGTCCGGATCCAGTGTGGGGCCCCATCTGTACAAAACTGCAGCGTGAGTATCTGGATAGTGGAAACCAAAGTCACATGTTGCCTGACTTTCTCCGGTACAGGTGGCAACCGGATGATTGTGATCTAGACAACCAAGGATGGGACCGGGACCAATTTTGTCGCCGTCTGAATGGCAAAACGATTGGTGTTTCGGGTGACTCCATGTCTCAGCAGTTTATCCATTCACTGATGGGCTTTTCCCACGGCACCATTGAAGATCATCTCAATTATGTGGTTCCCGGGAAGTTCTGGGAGGGACAGCCTGACCATTGGCTTAAGATTCGTGTTCCTCTTTGTCCCGACGATGAAAGGTACAACGTTACACTTGTTTATCAGCGTTGGGACAAATACCAGGGCCAAGAACAGGATAGGGCAGCACTGACGGCGCTCATTGAGGAGTCTGACTATCTAGTCTTGAATTGGGGTGAGTTTGAGTCCTCAGTAGATGTCACGTGCAGGGTTCGTAACATTTTCCACCTCATCTTTCTCCCTTTGATTGAATCATTCCATCCACAATGTTGCTTGGATTCTCAGGCGTGCACTATCAGGCGTGGTCCGATATGGAGAGAGCAACGGATGACTTCGTTGGGCTATTGGAAAAGCTCTGGCGTTCTCCTCACAAGAAACCTGAGCGATTGATGTGGAGATCCACGAACGTGGCTCATGCGAGGTGTTCTTCTGCCAGGGGCCCGCTGAAAGAGATTAAATCAAGCAGTAATTCCAGTTTTACTGATGAAACAAAGAGTGTGATTCATGAAATGTATAGTACTCAAGAGATACTGTGGCAGGATTCTTACATCGTCAAGCCGAGACTGCTGTCGAAGCTACCGCAAACTACCCTGCTCCGTATCGAGGAGACGACCCTGAAACGCCCCGATGGCCACCGGGTCGAAGGATACAAAGGCCAAGAAGACTGCCTCCATTACTGTGAACCAGGTAAGTCGAGTTATGCATAACTGTTGGACAGTGACTCTCAGAAGAGATGAAGCCATCTTCATTCAGTGCAGTGCAGGTTCCGAAACTGACGTTTGTTGCTTGCTGCATGCTTTGATGGCTGATCAAATAAATCTTCAGGACCAGTAGACCACTGGACGCAACTCTTCTACCATCATGTTGTAGCGTTGCAAATCTAAGCCCTGCCCATTGGACGAATGTCCTTATAGACTAACATTACTATTAAGAATCAGGAGATAGGCAGCAGCCATCACTATATTACCTTGCCTCATTTAAAATGGCATTGCTTGCTGAACCCAATGTACACACATGTAGGAGGATACAGATGCACTCTCCCCTGTGTGTGTACGAGTCACGTTGTCGTACCGCAAGAGGATTGACTGTGGCCGTACCGTTGAAGAGGACGAGGATTCGGTTTATCGAACCGCAACAACTACTAGTAGCTAGCGAAACTGGAGCAACAACTGGAGCAACATCCTCATGGTGGAGCGCTGCAGCAATGGTGACATGGTGATGGTGGCTAATAAGATGATGCAGGTGCATGCCGCTGCGGATGCGGAAGTCCGCAATGACATGCTATACATCTATAGTATTCTGCAGCTGTCACCCTCACCTCCCAATTGTTGAAAAGATCGGGTTTACTATGGATTAGAGAGAGCTAAGATGAGGATGGGGACAGAGCTCGAGGGGAGGGCACGACGCAGGAACGCAAGGCAAGCAATCAAGTGCGCAAGCAGGGCAACATGGAAACCAAGGAAAGGGGTGAAGGCAGGAGTGCAGGGAGAAGCAAAGGAGCAAGACTAGCGGAAGAGATCGAGGGCACCACAGTCATCCCAACGCTTGGAAACCTTGAGAGCTGAGACACGGGAGCCTCTCAAACACATTGTCGTGGCACGGGCAAGAGCTATGCTCAACCTGGCCGAGATGAACACAGAGTAGGGCTTGGACCACTTGGGAGCCAAATTGTTGCGTTGTACTCTTTTCACCACAGTCGACGTATGCAAACTGAGGCTCACATTTTCAATTCAAATCAGCATTTCATTCAGGTTTTGGATTATCACGGATGGAAGCACGAAGGCGACGACCACTGAGCCTCTCATGCCGACTGCGAGATGATGACCGTTTTACGACACTTGTATGGCTGCAAAGGGTACTAGCTAGTACGGTTAACAGCGGAGCTACTGATACTGCTACTAGAATTTGTGTTTAACATGAGAACTCACATCTTTCAACAAACAAAAGCTATATGCTTATAACGATCATAATTCTTTGGATTCGATTCCACAATTAGTACACTCCACTCTCCGCCATGTCGAGGTCGTTGGTGGCAGTAACACCATACGCACAGTTGGCAAAGGCATGAGCATCCTCCTTCAAATGAGCACAAGCCACCTTGGCGGTTTCTTCAGTGACGCCTTCTCTCAAATGACGAGCTTCCTTTTGGGTCATGTCGGGAAGGATGCACTTAGCAGGGTACTGGGGAGCTCTGGCAGCTTTGAAGAGCATGGGCTCATCATCATGAACCTGCCACTCCTGTCCAAGAGCATTCATGTCACCACTCAGTCTTCCCGTCACGGGCCAAGAGGTTACCATGGAAATCACCCATCAACCCAGCAACATTTCCAAAGTCTTTCTCAGCAGCATTGTGGACCCTGACACTCACAATATCCTTCATGATGCTCACAGTAATGTTGGACATCTTCGAGAGGACAATATCAAAGCGGTGGGCCTTCTTGCTCTTGACACTGTGCACAATGGGGTATCCACCAATGTTGGATCAACATTGCTCTTCCTGAGCACAGTGCTATCCAGAGAGTCAATCATGGCATTGTACACTCCATTGAATGAATACTCACCCCAACTGGAGACCTCCAAGGTATCGTCACCAAGGCGGACAACAGCAGCTTCAATGTATGAATACTGGTATTGAGCCTTGGTTCTGATGTGGATATCCAATCCGGTTCCACCTGCGAAGAATGGGTCAGTGAGGAAAACCAAATCGCATGCTCCATGGAAATCAAACCACTTGTCTGCCCAGGTCTTGAAGTGAGGGTCACCAGTACCGGCAACATCCCTTGTAATTTCTGTGGGAGGGGCTTCTGTTGGTGGGCAAGGAGTCAGGATCAAAGCCCACCTCTGAAAAGCGGCTCCCGCGCCCTCGCGGCTCTGTGTGTAGTCCAATGTCCATTCACCCTTTGAAGAGTGGCCAGTGAAATCGGAAAGATCTCCAACTGGTTGGATAGATGGATTGTAGTAGCAGATGTTTGAGTTACTGCTGGAAGCATCAAAAATACCCCAAAGAGGACCATTAGAGCGGCAACCTCCTTCAAGAAGGTCAACTTTGATTGCGCTTCCCCCACCATCAGGATTCAGGGTGACGTCGATATCCTGGGACTCAGCTCTTGCACCAGAAATCATCATCATAAATTCAATGGATCGACCTGACCAACAGAAAATAATTGCTGGCTACTCTGCTAGCTACGACGTACTCCTTATACTAGTAGCTAGCAGCCTAGCTCAACGTCATAGTCAACATCATAGTCAACGTCTCGCCATTTCCCTAAGTTGCAATCAAAAAGTACAGGGACCTTTTTGATTAACTCCAACAGTAAATCGCGGTGTCCTCGGTTCCAAGTGCCGCATCATTTATGCATAGCAACAGCTCTTTCATACTTCGCATCTAGCTAGGATGCATGCTCTTGAGTACTGGTCGCATGGTATAGACGATGGATCTCCACGTGATAAGATTCTTTCACCATGGAACTAGTATCCTTCAAAGGAATTTCCATGTCTTCCCAGACAAATGGCGTCCTTAGACATGGAAAATCTTATGAAATCATGAAATCATCATGTCAGACGCCCCCAAGCTTAAAGTTGTATGTAAATTCGTGGGCCCGAGCATGTGCATACCAAGCCTCTAACGTGGCGACACAACATTTGCTTGAAACCGATTGTCATTTGGCTTGCCCTCAGCCACAGGGCTCTCTTGTAGCAATCTGTAGTAAGCTATCAGCGATAAGGAGGATTGTTGTGTGGCAACACAACACAACACAACACAACACAACCATGGCTGCAATGCATGTCGCAAGCTACGGTATAGAGTAGAACAATACAATTCCCTAAAACAAATGTAAATAGGCTACTCATTCTTTCGAAATGCATGTATCGATCCCAGCGTTTGTTGTGCCTGCCCATGCACTGCAGTTGTGTAACCCAATCCGTGCTTTCCCCGATGAAGCGTGGAGCACGTGGCGCAAGCTCTTTGATTTGAAGAGGACGTGGCCAAGTAGCGGAATGCCGTGACATCAAAAGTCGAGTCGAGTCTTGTCAGAACACCGGCACACTCTGCATGAAATAGACAGCGCAATCAGCTAGCTAGCTAGCTATCAGCTCCGTCATGCAGACATAACTCCAGATCTCAAATCTCAGGCTGCTTAATAAAATAAAATGGCACATACAGCGGTAAACCAAACAACATACATATGCAGAAGTGCAGAGGTACATGTACCGCCAGAGGGAGGAAACCTGGGCGCATAGTATACACTGTACTGTACCATACCGGTACTGGTACCCTCCCAGGCGCTGAATCAGGCTCCCTCGCCTAGCGACTAAGAATTTGCACTCCTTGCATCTTGATGGTTTCTTCTGCGCATCTTTATCGCTTGTGCTCTACCTTTAAATACTAGCTATGATAGTATTAGTAGGCATAAAGCATTCACGAGGGGCACTCGCCAATGGGCCCATCTGTCTGGACTGTCACTCGACTCTGGCATCACACTGCAAGGCCTGCAACTCACACGGTGCGTGTGGTGGTTGTGGCTGATACTTTGTGGTCCAAGATCATGACATGGCTTGGAAGGAACGGTAAGTCAACCTCGACGCTGACAATCAATAATCAAGACAGGCAGCAAGTAGAGAAAGACTTTTGCCAAATGAGTGTCAGTCTATACATTTAGGATAATCATGCGAGAAAGGATCTCGAGCATGCTCTGGAATGCTGGAAATCGATGCCCAAAGCTATCCGTCAATGGTTCTTGTTCTGTTCTATTGCTGACCGCAACCATCTTGAGCTTCTCGATCTTGCTCTTGCTGCTGTCGTTGCCTCTCTAGTAGTATCTGTGTTATGAGTTGTTCTTGTTGCTCCGGGGGTGTCCCGTCTTGAACTTGTTGCTGTTGCTGCGGGGCTTGTGCGATTGCTGCCGCGTTTGCTGTGTCCAGCTGTAGCTGTCCGCTCGCAGCAAGTGTGTTTTCCATGAGCTGCTGTTCGAGTCCTTGGAGTGAAATGTCCATGCGGGCGGGAATGTTGTTAAGACTATTGATACAGATACCCTGTTGCTGTTGTTGCAGTTGCTGCAGCTGGTGCCGCTGCCACAGGGTAAGGGATACCTGTCCACCCTGTTGTGGGACGGCATGCACTGCTGGCAGTTGTTGTTGCTGTTGTAAAGCCGAATGACCCTGATGGATCAACATCAATTGCTGCTGAAGCCGCTCTTGGTGTTGTTGCTCCAACCGCCGTAGCTGCTGTTGCTGTAGAAGAAGTTCATCTTGTTGGTGCAGCAAGCTATTATTATTGTTTGCCTGTTGATGTTGATGTTGATGTTCCTGTTCATTCTGCATTAAAATTTGATGATCTGCCAATAGATCCGGTGGAGGTGGAACATTGGCCTGGACTGTGGGGGACAGGGGAGCCCTTTGGAGGAGAGGTGAAAGTTGTGGGATGACGGGGTTGACGTGAGGAACAGTCCCCATTTCTTCCTGTCGAGCGAGAACGGACTGCAGCATGGCTTGTGAATCCATATTCATGTTTGGGAGGAGGACATCTTGCAATTGCTGGTTAGGGAATAGGTCAAAGGACGAGGCACCACTGCTGGAGCTGCTGCTTCCCTCCCTCGGACGTGGTTGTGGTTGTGGTTGTGCTGCAGTTTGATGCGTGGAAGGAGTGTTGTGGCTTCCTCTGTGTGGCAGCGACCGAGACAGTCTCTGCATACTGGACGATGCCGAGGCTGCAGCAGCAGGACCTGATGCCCTCGGAGGTTGCTGCTGCAGATGGAGAGGTCCGGCCATCATGAGTGATTCACGGAGTGAAGCTCGACCAGCGTCCTGGTCATCACGGATACTTTTACTTTCTTCTCTTACATGTATGGATCCCAACGATGTAGGTGTCTCCAAAGTGCTGTCCAAAGGCGGGGGTCTCCAAGTATGACTGTTACTGGGAGATTCCATGGGGGGTGGCATTAGCTGCCGAGACTCACTTCCAGTGGGGCTGGGTGCAGTAGGTGAGGTAGCCGAAGTGGCGGGGCCAGTGACAATGCCAGTGCTGCTCTCCGAGGCAATCTTTCTCTCGAGTGCCTGAGCAGCCGCCTTGGCTTGTGACTTGTTCTGGGTCATGGTCCTGAGTAGGTCGGGTCTGTTTGGTTGGAATAGAGGATGCTGGTAGGCAGTTGTGTGCGAGGGCAAGTTTGGATAAGATACTTGACGGTAGCCCCTGCAAAACCCGAGTGACGAGTCCAATCGAATCGAATCGAATGAGTTAGTAGGTATACCCATGGTGAAAGAAGGCACAAGCAATAACCAAGAAGTTAGGAATGATTCAATCAGGAAGAGTTCTCGATTCGGTTTGTGGAAACAGGCAGGACAATAGCCAGGACCACAGTTCCACCAGGCATGTCCCCACTTTAGATCAATCGCAATCTACCAGTACCGGTAGTCTTCTACTAGAGCTAGATACTAAGTCTTAGACATGCTTGTACTTACCACCGGTTGAAGTTTCGTGTGATACTGGGCCACTTATTGCCATTGAAAGCAGTGTCCAGTACCTTCTTGGTGAAGACTCTTCGGTTGATAGCAAAGGCGCCCTTGATTTTTCCCATGTCTCGTAGCCACCAGACAGCGTCCGGCGCCACCTTCTTTTCCAGGAGCGCCATGAGCTTGTCAGGAAAGTGCGAGGGCGCCGATGCAGGGGGAGATGCAGCTGCAGCTGCAGCTGTTGCTGAAGCCAATGCTTGTTCAGGTTGTTCAAGTTGTTCAGGAGATCCTTGCTGTCTCTGTCTTGACTGGTTGCCCTCCGAAGACTGAGACTCGTTGGTGTTGTCCATGGTGGTTCCACTGGCACTGGCACTGGCACTGGCACTGCTACCGGTATGTATTAATATACTGCTGCACAAGACTGAGAGAACTGCCACCGTGTTCATACCGGTACCGCTAAGGCAGGATACAGAATCTGATATGATATCTGATATACCCGTACTCGAGTGGTACAAGCCACAAGCCACAAGCCAATGCACTACTGGTAACTGAAGACTGAAGACCGAAGCTAGTCTACCTGAAGCGCAACAGCTTAAGCTTACGATAAGGAAGCAAGCTTTTAAAAGAAATGAGCAAAATTAAATGACGGCTATACCTGATACAACTGGTACATGTGATCATGTAATGTCGACGCACTTACCCAACAGCAACGGTCGATGAAGCGGTGCAGTCAGTATTAGTACGGTGCAGTAAAGCTAAGCAGCACGTGTAGTAAGCGAGAAAAAGGTTTGTTTGTTTCCTGTTTTGTGCCAATGGTGGGTCTGTCGTCTGTGCAGTGCGAACACTGGGAAATTAAATGGGGACGGATGGATAATTCAATGCAATGATTCTCAAGGAACCAATCCGCTTGGGGTGGCTGATGGTTTTATGAGCCTGGGTTCAGAGGTGCAGCTGCTAGCATTTTTGATAAGTGCGTGCCAGCATGCCAGCTCGACTTTTACATGTACTTCGGTTTTTCGTCTATCTACTAGCTAGCTAGAGCTACCGTAGCTAGCTAGTACTGTGTGTGGATAGCACATCAGCAAGCAGATCTACGTGTTCTGGTTTAAAAGCCATAGCAGCAGTACTCTGCGAACTTGTTGAAGACTATTCGGGCAGGCACAAGACACTCTTTGGTTTTACCACTTACAGAGAGGAGCTACCACTCATAAAGAACAACAGTGAATAAAGCACCAGCAGAATAATGTCCATCGACATAAAGGGATACTGTACGAGCTACTGTAAGTACTGTATTCAGCAGCTATTCAGCAAAGGACAGGCTCTTGGTAAGATACGATCTTGCCGCTCTCTTCAAATGTCTCGGACCGCACTCACAAACACACCTTAGTTAGACTGCGAACTGCATACATACATGCAGTACTCGAGTACAGGACGGAAAGCAGGATTCGGATGCCCCGACTAAACCTAGCAGAGAGAACATTCAGCATTACTCCAGTAGAGAGTAAGGCAATGATGGCCTCCAATCGGGCTACCCTAAGCAAAAAAGTTCGCCTCCCTAGAAAAGGCTTGTCGACACTCAAATAACATTGTGGCCACCCATTGCTGGGATCGCTCTTTGATGGGTCCTGATAATAAATCAAGAGGGAGTCCCCTAATAGTCAAGCTGCCTTTGACTAGCTCTTTCAGGGCGTGGTACTCACACTGTTTTAGCATGTGAGTATGGGTACTGAGTAGTACTCACAATTCCAAAGTCAAGTGAGTATGGGTACTGGGTAATACTCACAATTCCCAGGGTCAAGTGAGTACGGGTATCATGTGAGTACAGGTACTTTGTGGGTACTATAGAGTACTCACTGAGTACTCATAAATCAAATACTTAGGGAAATTATCTAGGTTTTTCTAGTTCTGGGCTGGGGGCTCATCAATCTTGTTGTAAAGGTCCACCATGGCATCAATATCACTGTCATAATCCTCCTCTTCACATCTGCTGGCAGTTAGCTTGAGGAGATCCTTGGTCCTATTCTTCGCCCATTCCTTTCTTGCATCATTGATGCATTGCTTGTAGTTCTGGATGAATGCACTGTTCTTGTAGCAAAGAAGGCGCATTTGGAATGTCATGTCAACCTTCTGTCCATTGCTGAGTTTTCCATCAAACCATGTACAAGAACTGAAAACTCTTTCTTGGAAGCCACAAAATACTCACCGAGTACTCACTGGTACTCACTTCGAAGTACTCACCGAAGTACTCACCGAAGACTCAAAAAGTACTCAAAATCCGGAGTCATGTGAGTACGGGTACTGAGTAATACTCACATTTTCTGAGGTCATGTGAGTATGGGTACTGAGTATACTCAGTACTCAGTACCCGTACTCACATCGAGTACACGCAGCGTGTATTTCATGTGAGTCCCACACCCTGAGCTCTTTGACTAAACAGATTCAATAACAATATTTAATCTTGACCGGAAGACTTCAGGTAGATTGCAGAAAAAAACAAAATACAATTATTGTTTATTCCCCAACCACCTCAACAATTGATTGTCAACACCGAAAATATTCTTAAACACCAACTACAACTAAATGCTTAAATGGTTGCTCCTGATGATTGATGATTTCCGTTTTGCTGGTACCACATGGAGCACATCCTGTGAAACTTTGATAATACACAAACCACCACGTCACAAACAGATCCCTCATCAATTGGCAAGATTGGCTCGAGATCCTTCAAGCTCCCCCTTTCTTAGGGCGACCCACAGCCACTCGCGATCTGAACTTCTTCGCCGATCAAACTTACACTCCTCTAACCTCTAAGCTCCTCTTGCTTCTTCCTGTTTTTCTTCTTGGGATCAGTAATAGTCCCAGCATGCGATGAGTCCAGCTCTGTGAAACTTGGACAAGAAAGTGTACCTTTCAGTAAGTAGTGACTAAAAGGTGAACTGCTTTCATTTATTAACTGGATCACCGTGTTGAGGAAGAGAGGAGTCCCAGCAAGAGCTGTTCGGCACGTGCATGCGTTGTTCAGCTGTTGCTCTTTGTCCCATATGCGGGAGGGACTTTTCTGTTTCTGACTCAGTTTACCGGTACATGTACAGCAGTAATCAAAGCGTACTCCTGACTTTAGCTACTTGCGGTACCGGTAGGGGGCCAGCAGGGTCCAGAATGGAGAAGGAACGTGTAGGAAGGACCAACTTGTGACCATCTTGCTCCGCAAAAGATTTTGGTGGCCAGACAATTCTCCTTAGTCATGCTGGTACCAGGGTAAGCTCAAGATCGTTTCAAAACTGCTTCCAACAGAAAGCTGTTCTGGAAAAGAATCGAGAGGACCAGTTTACAGTTTACCACTGTTGGCCAGGCAACCATCTGAATGGATCAAGGGGAGAATGCACAAGGCATGGTTTGCCATTGATTTGAAGATTGAAGGTGGATTTAACGAAACTTGCTCAGCAATAATGTCATGGCCCAAATGTCCTCAATGGAAAAACAGTATTTTGGCCAGTTCGTTTATCTACAGTCAGTGTCTCGGATATTGAAAACAGTATTTACAAATATAAACATTGGATTTAACAAATATATTGTCCTAGAAATTCGTGTCATAACTGTTCTCTACCTTGGGTCTTGAAACTGTGTTTGGATGATGCACAGTCGATTCGATTCGATTCATTCGATTGAGTCGAGTCATGATGCTCAATCGTTCGCACCTGTCCCTACAGTATTGTATTCAAACACCTAACCTTGTAAACTTGCTTTGAATGACGTGCCTCTGACATCAGCTTCTTTCGAATTCCGCTGAATTCTTACGCAGTTTTGGCGCAATCACACTTTCCTCCAAGCCCAATTATTCTTGGAACCCTCAACCGCACCTCTCTCTTCAGAGCCCCACTGCTTGCCAGTACTTATTACTACGTTTTATTTTAATAGTACAATTCAACTGAACCAATTACTCCATCCCAAGCATTAGCCATGTGCCCCCCAAGTTCGAGTCTTCCAGAAGACGACAATGTTGATCCTGAAAAGGCTGAAACTGACAAGAATGTAGTCCCGCAGGCAAGGCCCAGCAGCGTTCGTCGTTCGTTGCGAATGTCATTGTCATTGGTCGAGTTGGACCCGGAGCTAGAGGAGGCTCAAAAGTTGTCGTTTTCGGAAAAGCCGTGGCCGTTGTCCATGTTTTCAGGTTTCTCGACGGAACGTGCCACCATGGTGACGGGGCTGGGATGTCTGAGCAGCTCGATTGTTTTGGCCGTGCGATTGTACCTGGATCATTCGCCGCGCGCCTATTTGATCCATTCCATCATTGTCTTTTTCGACTGTATTCTCATTCACATGTTTACACACTCCTTGTGGCTCAGTATCACCGGAGAAATCATCACTTATGTCTTCTTTATCAGCTTTCACTTTACCAAGGAAACCGTGTGGGAATTGCTGGAAACGACACTCCTCGCCGTTATCAGCAGCTTTTACTTGATTGGCAGTCGCAAACAAGTCATGCAAGAACGAAATGAACTAGAAGACGACATTCACAGCCTAAGGCATCGTGGGGCTCTCTTGCTACGAAACATTAGTCAAGTTCACGCCGCCATTCGAGAAAAAGAAAAAGATCCACATGCTTCCGTGCTCCTCCAAGTTCAGGGGGAACAGCATCAGCTGTTGAGTCAACATCTGAATCTAGCTAGCTCAAGAAATGTCACAGGGATTCCAAAGAGAGTCCATTGCTACGGCTCTACAATCAGACCAAGAAGATGGAAATTCGGATACCGACGACGAAACCATCGCGGACAATAACAACACGAACAACAACGCGAACGGACATCATATCGAGGCTGCACTCGACACAGAGTTGTCAAGAGAATTGCTCAAGCAAGGAGAGTGCTCTTGCAGAATCAAAACCTTCAAAGGGAGACTCAATCAGTGGCTCACCCCATTCACACCAGATCCGGAAGCATGCCCGAACAAGTTGAAATGCTACAAAGAACTCTTCTTTGAGTACTTTTTGGATGGAGCCGCAGGAGTCATGTACACCAGTTTCTTGGGTCTCATCATTGATGCCTTTCTCAATTATGGCAGCTCCAGCTACTAAGGATCACTTTCGCTTAGTTTTGCAACAGTTTCAAGCACTACCTTGACAGTTCAGGTTTTCCTCTTTTTGTTGTTGGCTTATGACTTGTTATTCGGCTTCTCGAGCATGCACGCACTTTTCTCGTATATTAATTTGAAAGCGGTTCCTCTATAAACAGTGTGTGGCCAGCTATGCTAGCTAGCTCTGGAGAGCGACAACCGAAATAACTTACTTGCGGACTCTTTAGCTTTCCCAAAAGAGTAACTCCACCGTTGCAAGCAAGAGGCAGAAGAGGGGAACGGTGCGATGGGCTTCAGCTTCAGAGGCCGCGCTGTGCATAGTTTTGTTATTGTGGATATCATACGGTAGCCCTAAATCTCCCACGCCGAGCTTATTCCAGGGCGTGGATATTGCCTTTCTTAAGTGGCAACATCTGGCGGTATTCCGGCTTGCTTGCAGGAAGTCCTGTTTGCTCCCACGACCTCCGTTCCACCACACCAGATGCTATGAGCCTCGATGTTTGCCAGGTCTTCGCACCATACCAATGACGACAGTGCCGACCAGCCTCTATCATAGATGCTCTTACTTTTCGCTTGCAAGAACGAGCTACCTCGAGTGATAGCTAGAATACGAGCATACATTACAAGTACCATCACAATGTTTGATGATAGCGAGCGTACGTGCAGCATGTCGGATGATGATTCCAGCGAACTCGTACCTCGTCCCGCGGATCGCGAGACGGAAGCCCCGGAGGACATGGTGGGAATCGAAATGGAGGCCTTGAACAAGGGAAACAGCAAAAAGAGTGCAAAAGTTATCAGTGTGGTGACACTCCGAGAGGGAGCCCGCATCACCAAGACTGCGATGTTGCTGGTCATCAGCGTGCTGGGTGTTGCCGCGGCCCTCACCTGGATGCAGTTTCATCATGCACAGTCATTTGGTGGTCTCCTTCAAGATCCAGGCACTCCTGACTCCAACATTACCAAGGTGCCCAAGCCAGAAAACACTGTCTCTCCAGTTGCAAAGTCACCCCAGCAGGTTGCCAAACCAGCCGTCTCGGCAAACAAGAAGAATAGCAATGACCCCAAGCAGCACGAAGCCATCAAGCAGGGTACTGCCATTGAACCTAAGACAGCCAAAAAGCAAGGAGGTGCCCAAAAGAACAAGCCGAATGCTGCTCGAGAGCCAAACCAGAAAGCAGCCCAAGAACCCCAGCAGCACGAGGGAGCCCATCAGAACAAGCAGAATGCTGCTCCAATGCCAAACCCAAACGCAGTCCAAAAGCCCCAAAAGCAGGCAGGGGGGCCGAAGAACAACAAGCAGAATTCTGCTGTGCCAGAGCCGAACAAGAAAGTAGCACAAAAGCCCAACCAGTCTCCACTGGACACGAACCATCCCGGAGCTCCAAAGCCTCAGCAACAGCAGCAGCAGTCTCATCAGAATGCTGCAACGCAACCGCAACAGCCAATGCAGCAGGCAAATCACGGGAATGGCATGCAAGCAGCTCAGCAGCAGCAGCAGCAGCACCAAGCTCGCAACCATCAAACTCAACAAACTCACAACCATCCCCAGCAACAGCAACAGCAACAGAAGACACAGACGACGACGGGCCCACAGCAAGGTCCGAAGCCAGGTCCGCAGCAAGGCCAAGAGCCGCAACCCAAGGATGGCGAACAGAGCAACCAACTATCCAAACCAACCTTAGCGGCTGAAACACCGGTAACTGGCACATCAGGCGAACCTGTACCGGTAGCAAACAAGATGAACGTAAGGAACCGTCCCAACAACGCAATGATCATGATGGCGGGGAAGTTGAGCAACAGCAACGACCACGTGGGTAAGCAATTGAAAGATGATAAGAATCTATGGCAGCAGACGGAACGCCGTCACAAGAATGGACCACGCGGCAACCCAAAACCCAATGGAAAGCCACAAAAATCGAGTGTAAGCGGCGACAGCCGACATGGTGGAGGCATGATGCATCACGGGATGATGATGCGCCACAACGGGATGAACCAAGACGCTTATCATCCCACGAGACCAGACCAGGAGGAGATTCCGGAGATTCCGGAGCAGCAACAACAATCCCAGACGTCCAAGAATGGGCTGTTGGTGGATCTTTGGGGTTTTGCTTCCTCTCTAGCCCCGAAAGTTCCACATGGACCTCAGGAGGCTGCTATGTCGCCCGAGAATGAGCCGCATGAGCAACAACAAGAGCCTCCTTCAGCTTTGCGCAAACATCCCATTGACCGTCCCAATGACGAGAATAGGAATAACAATAATATGGATAACCGCAACGGGGGTGGGAAACGAAAGCACCAGATGAAGCGCCACGGTGGAATGCTATGAAAACTACGAAAATGTGCACAACGGAGCCAATAAAGTATGCAAACTCTACTGTCGCATGCAAACCATGTCATCTTCTGCCTATTCCACATATTTAATGTACCGGTACCAGGTATGTACCCAACCCCAAACTAACTATATGCATGGACAAAGTTGCGTTGGTGAATGTGTCTGTAGCTAGCTAGTGCATCGACTCACTCATAGTTCATGGTCTCCGTCCTGCTTCCGAAGGTGTCAAGAGTAGCTATGCATAGCTGGATATGGCCGAACCACCGGTAGCACTACCGGTACAGCGTACTGTACGGAAGAGTTGACCAAAACAACCAGCTAGCTAGCTAGCTAGAAGATGAATCTCAAGCTCTAAAACCTCTTATTGGGTGTCTCCTCGATGGGTGGTGGCTCTCTTGAGGAGCTATCCGTGACCCATGTATGAAATCGTACAGTTAGGGTAGCACACTATGCATACTAGCTACTAGCTAGCTAGACTAGTCTATTACCAGCATTCCGAATTCCGAAGAAATGTGCGGGCAGGTTTTGTGGGATTGCTGCAGAACAAATTTATTTAGGCAAACACACACATCTAAACCGGTTCTTAAGTCTATTTTCAAAGAACCGCGAACTTGATTCGCCGGCCAACTGAGATGCCTTGGATCCAAAACCGTTCTATTTGTGCGTTTCTGTCACCGTGACTGTTGTTGTTGTTGTTGGAACTTTGGTTACTATCATAGTCGTCATTGGAACTTCGGAAGAAAATAATGGAATCTTTTTAGATCATTGGGTTTCGCCTCCGCCAAAGCCTCATTATTTTGCTACTAGCTAGTACCCATCATCTTGAAGGAAGAAGACAAGTAGTCTTATAAAAGCAACTGACAATGAAGATTGCCTTGTTTATCTGTGCTATTGCTGCGTCGGTGGCCACTGCCTCTGGTGCTGAAGCAGATACCCCCAATATCAGAGTGCGCCAGTTGCACGGGGATGAGGATCATGAGCATACCAACACCAGTGCTGTAAGTTAGTTTTCTATTCTTTGGTTTTTGATTTTCCATACTTTTGATGTGGTTTACTGATCTTTTATTAACACTCGTTGCTTCCTTCTATCATTCATAGCTTTGCTTCAGCGGAGAGACGACTGTGGAGGTTGCGGATGAAGGTCCCGTTCGAATGGAAGATTTGCGAATTGGATCGTTGGTCATGACAACCGACAAGCAATACCAAAGAATCTACGCATCGGCTCACTATGATCCCAAGAAAGAAGCAGAATTCCTTCAATTCAAGACGTCCGAGTCGGATAACGCCATGGAAGTCACTGCAGATCATTTGGTATATGTACAAGGCCAAAAATACCCAGTTAGAGCCTCGTCCATCAAGGTTGGGGATTCTCTCATTCACTATGAGATGCCCGTCCAGGTCACAGATATCAAGAAAATCACACGTACAGGAGTCTATGCCCCTTTGACTCCGGATGGAACCCTTTTGGTCAACGGAGGATACAAGGCGTCCAACTATGCCACTCCCACTGGACCTGACGAGGAAGGATACGATCCTCAGTTTGTAGAATTCCAAGGTTCCATTTCCTCGGGAATTTCTCAGCAATCCATGACACACTACCTCTTGGCACCTCTCAGATTGTTGTGTTTGGGAGTTGCGCCACAGCTCTGTCAAAATGAAGTCTTGTTGGACCAACAGGGATCGCCACACTACATCCAGTTCATGCTTGATTTGGCCAATCATGCCAGGGTACACTTCTCAGCTACAGCACAAGCCTTCATGATGATGATCTTTGTCATTGGATTGGCACCCTTTGCGCTGACAGAGGCAATGGTTGGGCCTGCTCTGGCTCCTTGGCTCTTGGCATTGATGGGATTTTCAATCTTTTACAAGCACAAGCAAAACCAAGCCAAGGCAAAGACTGCTTAATTAATCAACAATCTGAAGTCGTACTCGTAACTAATAATCAAACACAAGCAGATTGCTGTTATAGCCAACTGCTACTAGAAGTACATGGACTAGTAGCTATCAGGCACTGTCAGGACAGTTTCCTCCAAGGGGAGTTCCGAAGGATTTCGAATATTCGTTCTTTTTTTATGCTATCTTTTAGAGGGTTAGTGATGATCTTTGCAGAAACTGTGCGTTTGGCGCTTCCACTTATCATTAAGAAAACTTGACTTATTGCCAAGTAACCAGTAAGACACGAAAGATTTATGCAACTGGAAGATCTGGCAAGATTTACTTGTCCACCGGTACAGTACAATTGCAAGTTGCTCACGTCTCTGCGCTCTACACCCATTTTCCTGCCAGATAATAATAGTGCCATGCCAGGTGTTTAGTCTAGTCGAAAGGAATGGTTGCAAAAGGCTACCAGACCTAGCTAGGTGAGGGATCAGGTGCGCATTGTTTCGTGTCGTGGTAAGTGGCTAGCTAAAGGATTGTAGAACATGTACCTGTTGGCTTCAAAAGACTGCTCTGTGCGCAGTATACCACCGCGCTAGGATAGCTATGGTTGAATTGCTTCAAAGCTGACTTTCGCCTTCTTGCAGGGACTCACGTTTTTGCACTTGTGTACTCCTCTCCTTCAAACTATCTACTTTTAACGCGCTGGCTACAGGTAAATTTAGGATGAACCATACACTATGAGGGTGGAACTTTCCAACAGTTGCAATCTCGCGGTCCCGCAGGCCAGCGGCACCGAGCCCCTCCTAGATCACGTACCGTCCACTCGTACTACATGTACTGGCAACCGATGGGAAGATGCTGCACTTCGTTGGACAGGCGGCGGGTCCAAGGGAGAGTACTCGTCGCTCGTCGGTTCGAAGGATCCGAAAAAGACGGGAAAGAGCTGCAAATCCTGGGGAATCTGCGTCCCTCAGCTCCTCATGATTTTGATTGTCTTCAGTTTTACTGGCGCTGCCATTTGTGGTGCAGTTTTTGATTGGCATGGCAAGCATCATCGTCATCGTAGTCAAGCGCACCACCATCGCTCAGACTCCAGCAATGAAACGGGATTTCATAAGAGAGGCAATGGCCTGGACCACGACAGGACTCTCTGGGCATGGCTGTTCGGGGGCCCGGATCAGTCTCACACTTCTCATAGGCAGCACAGCAAGCAGACGAGACATATCGAACCACACAAGCATCACCACCAGCATCATAAAGGCCATCTCCATCACCTCCACTCGGACCATGACCTCAAACATGGTAAGAAAAAGCAGCATTTGTGGTCGCCCGATGGGGGCCTTCCTCACATTGGTTTCTGGGATCACTCTCATTCACAAATTCCACTCAAACATCATCATATGGCACCGAAACAACAATCGCAAATGCTACAAACAATGGACAACATCCCGGCACCTACTCCAACTCCAGTCGACGGGGAAGCGCACGAACATGATGATCACCATACCGGTAGCAGTTCCAGTGAAGACGAATAGATCTAGATTGCGAGAGCGAAAGTGAATGCTGCACAAATGGTACGAGAATATTGGTTGGACTTGTAAGGAAATCCAGGAGTCCTTAGAGAGCGAACGTGTTGCTTCGGTGGACTGCTGTACAAACGAAGGATGTAATCTGCCAACTGTGTCTGTCCAAGTAACATAGACAAACCATGCTGCCGTCTTACTACCGTTTGCTATCCGTAGACGTAGCTGTCGGGTGCCTCTCTCTCTCTACCTGCATCATTTGCCCAATTCCCTTTCTGCTGCCTTTGCCTTGCTTGGTAGTTGGGTGGAATACCTGGGAGCATTTTGCCATGGATCATGCACTGCAGACGCTGGATAAAGAGGCAGCTATGCAGCCTCTTGGGTTGGTGGCCTACTAGACATGAAGAGGAGGACCGGGAACAGGTTGCCCAGTAGTTTTCTGATCATGGACTTGTTGTGCTTCGATTGGTTGCTTCTGGCAAGGACCAGCTATTGAGGATGGCTTCTTGGGCTGGAAAGGATGCCATGCCCGATCCTTTTACCAGGTGGCGCGGCATGAAAGCAATGCTCTTCGATCGTCCTGGATTAGTGTTCTACATACAGGCTGCTTTCCCAAAGCAACCTTCGTTTTGCATATATATATATATGAATTATCATAAATGGCTCCAGCATGCATACCCTCTAGCTAGATCATCATACCATGCATCGAGTCCTCCTCGTCTATACCGTGGAGGGCATGTTGTTCATCGTACCCTTTTGTTTGTTAGTAGGGAGTCATTTCGTCCATGTAGGCATCCAACACGTCCTGATGGCTATCAACCTGCTCTGCGACTTTGGGCGGCTGCGGTGCCGCTGCTGTCACTTCGGACCTGTACAGATCTTCTGTGTCTTCCAGCATTCGCTGACTAACATCCACGCTGCGTTCACTGTTATGTATGTTGTCACTATCATTATCAGGACCTTCTCCACCAGTGTCCTCATTCGGACTCATCCAATGATCCACAAAAGTTTCTTGTGGAGCGGCGTTGGACTGTTCCATGGGACCATCACGGGAGGATGACATGCCACCCTGGACGAAGCTCGGCGGCTTGTTTCTTCCCATGGACCAGAACCACGGATCATGGATGAAAGATTCGTATTCTTGGTACTGAGCTCGACCATATCCACGCTCTTCATCCTCGTATAGTGGCTGTCGTTTCCGTTCTTGTAGAGGTGGTTGTTCCATGGCATCTTGCGGCGGTTGACTACTAAAGTAGCTCCTGTCAATTTCGAGCATGCTCCTGTGTCTCTCGTGTAGCTGTTGCTGCTGTTCGTGTCGCTGCTCATGTAGCTGTTGCAGCTCGTATTGCTGCTGAAGTTCGTATTCCTGCTCTTGGTTCCAATCCGTTTCGCGATGGCTGATCATGCTGGATTGCGTATTGTAGTCGCCGTCCACTACCGGCGGTGGGTAGGACCCCGAATCGTGAAATGTGGGATTTGGGGGTGGCAGGTTGTTGTTGTTGTTGTTGGCCATGTCCATCATGGGATTCGGGGGACGGTCCACGTAAAAGTATTGTTCCGGTTCGTTTTCGTCCTCGTCCTCGTCGTTGGTTGCTCGTGCCGACGTTGTCTCGTCTTGATTGGAACTCGTAGTACTAGTTGTCGATGCCTCGGTCATTGGTTGTGGTGGTTGCTGTCCCGTGTTCCCGTAGGGATTGTGGATGAACGCTTCTTGGTGTTCGTACTGTGATCTTCCGTATCCATCGTCGTCTGGTCTCTGCTCGTTCGTGTTGGCGTCTGGGCCTGACGGCATCGGCGGGGAGTCTCGTGACGCTTGATTTGCTTTTTCCACAATATTTTTGTTTTGGTTATTATTTCTCAGTTTGGGTGCTTGCTTGCTTTTGTTTCCAGCCATTGACGGGACGAGCTGTTGTTTCTGGTTTTCGTTATTCTGATTGGTAGCGGTGGATTGCGCGGTCGTGGCGTCATCTTTGTTGCTCGATTGCATTTTTGTGCTTGGATTGGTCTTTTCATTCTTCTGTTTCTCCGTAGCTATGGCCTCTTGCATACTGGTATCATCTCTAGTTGTGACGTCGTCGATGCTGGTGCTGTCCTCATTAATACCGGTAGGCGACTGAGACTCCTCTGACTGGTTGTTCCCAGCAGCGTCTTTGGTCTGAATCATCATGTCTGCCCTCGACCTGTCTACGACAAAGTACTGGTCTTGGTCTTGGTTTGTGTCTGGCTCGAGATCTTTTGTTGTTTCGTCTTCTTGTGGTTGCACTTCTTGTGATGATTGTTGTACTATGTCGGTCTGTTCTTCTTGAGGAGTAACGGTTGGTTCCTGTTTGGGTCTGACGTATCGGTACAATTGCTTGGGTGTGCTTGCTTCTTGTTGTTGTTGTTGTTGTTGTCTGTCTTGCATTGCTGGTACTCCCATCATAGTTTCGTATGGATTAATGGTTCCATATGGACTGTTGATGAAAGCATCTTGCTGATCGTACTTTGCTTTTCCGTAGCTTTCCGCAGCATGAGGAGAATGTGAGTAGACCTGGTACTGCTGGTTGTCTATCATCAGCTCTTGTTGTTGTTGTTGCTGTTGCTGTGGTTGTTCTTGGTGTTCTTCTTGCTGTTGGTGGTGCTGTTCTTCTTGCTGTTGCTGTTGTTGTTCCTTGTGCTGCTGAGCAGTCTGTTTCTTGTTTTGTCTTGGCAGAATGACATAGTCGTGCACTCTCCTGTTGTTTGGATTCATGGTTCCATAGGGAGCATTGATAAAATCTTGCAACTGTTCATGTTTCGCTTTTCCATATTCCTCCTGGTAGTAGTCCAAGTATCCAGATCCATCTCCCAAGTAGTAGTTGGGGCTGTCACTGAGATTGTCCCTGAGATTGCATGTAGCCATAAAAGTTGAATCTTCAGTGGTAGAAGGTGGGCTTCCTGGGCTTGGACCACCTGCAGCTTTAGCTTTGAGAGATGGACTTGACTGCCTTGAAGCCTTAGATGAAGCTTTGACAGGTGCAGCTTTGACAGGTGCTGGTGGTTGTTGGTCTTGTTTCTGAAATATTTCTTTGTTTGCTTGTTGAATGGTGGCTGCTGCCTTGACAGTTTGTTTCTTGGTATTCTTGACATTCTTGACAGGTTTTCTTGCCTGCTTTTGTTTGTCCTTATCTTTGTTGTCCTTGTCTTGCTTGTGTTTGGTGAAACCCTTGCCTGAAGCTGCATGTGACTGTGACTGTGAATTCTTTTTTGCCAATCTCAATGGTAAAAGACTTACAACATGTAGTGGTTTGCTTGAGGCTGTTGTTACTGTTGTCACATGATGATGTAGAGATCCTGATCTGACCAGAAAGGCTTGAGCAAAGCCAGTGCTGTGCATAGAGCCACTCCATAGAAAGAGCAGGCTGGTTACAGTGACCATCATAGACTTGGACTTGGACTTGAACATCCTCATTCTCATTCCTGAAACTTGGCTTGACCTGACCTGATCTTGGCTTGGCTTGGCTTGGCCTGGCTTGGCCTGGCTTGAATTGAAACTTGACTTGACTTGAAACTTGAACTGATCTGAGCTAGCTAGAGCTAGCTAGAGACTTGACTTCCTTTGTGTTTGCTTGTGTTTGCTTGCTTGGTTGCTGATTTTATGAGAGTGGATGGATCTTCTATCTTTTGCTGTCAACGGAATAATGGATGCCATCATCTACGGTACTAGTATCTGATCATCTCAAAACCTCATTGCCTTCTTTTCTTTCCAATTTCGTCCAACCAAAGCTATTGCCCTTTTTGCTCGAATGACGTTGTGAATAATAATAATAATACTATTTATAGTATGACGTCGCGTGACAAGGACGAGTTTTCTTTCCAAACCTCCATCTCTAATGAAGCTAGAAATTGTTTGGATCACGCAAGAGATTGGTTCTTGTTTGGTGGACGAAAAGAAGAGCATTCGTGCGAAGGATGTTTACTCCACGTTCCTAATTAAATGGATACAATCATGTGTTGTGTGGAACACTCGGTAAATCAAGTCTTCCAACAACCAACTCCACCGCAACACCATTTCTATTTCATTCTGTTTTGGTTGGTGTTGCCTTTATTATTTCTGTCTCCTCTCTTCTGTCATTTCAATTGAATAGCTAGTCTAGCCAAAGATGGGAGGATCCTCAGAGCACATTTGCTTTACAGCCATTCCTTATGATGGCTTTGATGCCTTGCTAGGCAATAGCAATAGCAGTACTAGTACTAGTACTTCCAGTGGTTGGATGAGTAGACTTTCCGCTCGATGTAATTGTTCGGCTAGATTGAACGTAAGTGACAAGTGGAAGGAACGTCTGGAAATGGGAGCAAAGATTGGTATTGTCATTGCTGCATTGGTTGGACTTGGATTAGCTTTTGGATTCTCCATTGCTGCCATTGTCAGAGCTGCCAAGCATCATCATCATCACCACCACCACCATCATCACCTGCACGTACCTTTAGCTACTGATTCTACCAGTACGTACACTGAAAGTACCAGTACTAGCACTAGCACTAGCACTACTAGCAATGCCTTTTGGGGAGTCCACAATAAAAACATGCCAATCAAACTGCAAGCAACCAAGAACAAAGACAAAGACAAGCTGCTACCAGTAGTACCTCCCAACAGAAGACACTCCAGCATTGATACTGGTATTGATAACACTGCATCTACAAATAAAAAGACTGGATTCTGGAAAACTAACAAGTCCAACACGAAGCCTAAACTTAGAAAACACTCAAGACCAAACAACATGCAACCACAATAAACTTGGAACAAAACCTGACCTGACCCGGCCTTGACAAAATTTAGAAAAGCAAAGTTCAATCAGCAGAAAGCACGAGCTACTAGTAGCTAAACTTCTAAAATAACAGCAGTAGTTGCAACTCGAAAGAGACTGTTAATAGCTGCTAGTATCGTATCGTATCAGAAGAGGTAGCATACCGGTACAGCACCACGCATATTCTTATTCTTATATATTACTTTACTTTGCCCAACAAGAATGTGGAAACTGAAGAATCCAGCCATGCTCTAGCTCCGACTTTTGTGTCAGAATGGGTCGCACGTCATCGCAATCCTCCAGCTCCGTCACCAAAAACGAAAACACATCGGACAGATCATCATTGTTCGTCGTCGTGCTCGTAATGGTATCGGTACCAGTACCCACACGAGGATCGTCTTGAAAGCCTTCCAAGAGCAATGTGTTGCTACGATTCTTTTCCAAATTCAACCAACCACTATCCACCAGCACCACGCGCTTCAAACTTTCGTCGCCACCGCCACAACTCAATACCAACGAAAGTCGTGAAAGATCCTTCCAATACTGCTTCTTGGCCGTCTTCTTCTTCTTCGTTTTCTTCTTCTTCTTTTTGCTTGTCTTGCTCCGAGTAACTGTCGTCTCGTCGTCGTCGTCGTCGCCGCAACACGAACAATGCTCACGACCCCAAATACGATCTTCCGAAAAGTACACACCCTCAGGATCCAACATTCTTGCCAACTGCTTGGCTCGCGCCAACGGAACACACGATGAATACAGATGCGTTTCATAGCGGCCGCAAACATCATCCAAAAACTCGTATAGTCCAGGACGGATATTGACATGCAAAATCTTATTCGACAACAACGACGACGATGCGCTAGGTCTAGAACTTGCCTTCTGCCTACTAGATTCAGCGGCATCATGATCGTCAGCGTTGTCTTCGTCCTCGACGAACTCCGTTTGAATAAACTCCACCGTTTGTTGTCCGTTCGGCAATACCCTGCGGCTTCGTGTCGTCCCAGTTGTCGTCACGGTCATACCGGTACCGCTCGTCCAGGAGCAGCCTGGTTCCACAGGCTTTGCATTGTCCATACATGTAGGCTGCGACGGGATACAGCTTACAATTCAGCTTTACAGCTTTACAATTAGCAGGCTTATTCTAGAAAATAATCAATAACTGCTCACTTATTTGGAAATACAAACTTTACATCTCTTAGATCGTTAGATTGATCAATGCACAATGGTATTGTCGCATGGTAGCATGCGAGGTTATGAGATGTTACTCATTCTATTTCTTATATGTCTATCCCCTATGGTTGTCAATGGAATGTGCTACTCCTTGATGCAGATTGCTCCTGATGAGTTTCCTTGCATTCTTCATCGGTAGTCTTCCCTTATTGCACTCACTTCCCTTGGATCGCTCGAAAGCAATCCCCTTGTTCTTACTCTATTGACGATCGTAATCAGTGAGGATCATCCTATTATCTGGATTGCTCAAAAGCAGTCCCCTTGTTCTTAATCCTATTGACGATCGTAATCTCAATGAGGATCCTATTATCCAATACGATCAATCGATCGCTGCAGGAGCCACTACTGTTACTACTGTTACTGTTACTGCTACTACTGGTATCTCTATCACCGGCAATGCCTTGGCCATGCTCAGCTTCAGCATGGATCGATCGATCGGCCGAGTTAACAGATCAATCCAAGTTAACAGAATTCATCGAAAAATGAGCTCCGTCTGCAATAATGCTCGGCCTGTGTGTCATGCATTGAGTCATGCTTCGAGGGCCATTTCCCTCTCTATTATCCGTTCGAACCGGCTGAGTCATGCATTGAGTCATGCTTCATCGCAAACTCCTCTTGTTTCACCGCAAACTCCTCACTTTTTCGTTTTAAATCGAACATACGAGAACAACAACAACGCGAGCGATAGATCGCTCCGTGTTGTTGTTGTTGATCAATCGGCAGTTGGTCTCTGCTTACCCAGGACCGGCATTGGTCGTTTTGACTGGCTTGCAGTTAGTCGTTCGGATCATTCAAACGAAGATTCGCTCGAGAACTCGCTCGAGGACTCGCTCCGATTGAAGAAAGCTCACAAATTCCAGTCGCTCGAGTCAATCGAAACTGGACATTCTCCGAGCTTCTCCTCTTGTTGCCGCTCTTGTTCACTCCTTCGCTTTTGTTGCCATTGCTCTTGTTGCCATTGCCGCACTGTTGACCTTGTTGATTTTCACTGCCTCCAATTCCATCATCTATTATTGATGGACCTTGACGACGCTTCCTCTGCCTCAGCATCTTCATCTTCAACAACAGCGGCACCAGCACCAGCATCCTTGTTCAGTCCACAAGGCTTCAGACAAGCCTTCTTTGAATCTGATCCAATCATCCCACCATCTGATCCTCCAACCATGACTGCAGCACCATTGACCGCAGTTCAATTCCAGGAGCTCCTCCAGCACATTGGGAAAACCAAAGAGAAGACCAAGCTTACAGAAGCCCCTCGGCTTGGAGGTATCAACCACACTGGAGCCTGGACAGGATCTGGCTCAGATGGACTGGGAAAGGAACCTCAAAGCACCCTATGCCTCAGGGGTTTCCATGGTGACGACCATCTGAAACATCACACCACACTCCAGCCTATCGAATTGGCATGCAAGAAAGGACTGAAGGATTCCACAGTCTACTATTTTCCACTCTGACTGAGTCAAATGCTTTTGGGTCTCATGTGCTAGCTCTCTTATCGCCTTTGAAAGTATGATGACAGAGCATGGAATGGAAGGGGTCTTCCAGCTTGTTGTTGGAGACCTTAATACTAACACTATTAATAAAATCAACATTTTCACTGCTCCTGGACAGGTCTCAGAGTCTATGATGGAAAAATGGCATCAGGACCTCACAGTCAATGGGTCGGACTCATCGATGCCAATGGGGATCTGCAGAACATCCTTGTTTGCCAGTATGATTTACAAACCTTGCCTGGTCGGGAAAGGCTGTCTTGAACTCTTGCACTGATGCACTCCAGGAAGAATTGAAATCATATGTTCCTCGAGCCAAACACAATGGCCCCAACTTCTCTTGCTCTTCTGCAGAAAATATACAGACCTTCTCTCAGTAAGATTGAACCCTCAAAGCCAAGCTACTTCACTTGGACATCACCAAGTCCCTGGGGAGAATGTTTCCATGTTTGTTGTCGATGCAAGCAAGATCATCAAAGAGATTCGATTAAACTTTATGTCCAGTGATCCATGCCTGAACTAACCAGCACATCCCTGAGAGGTCTCCTTGGCTGTGGTTGTCCATACTTTCGATCCAAAGTCCATGAGTCTTGTCAAGAGTGAATCAACGGATTTGATAGCAACTATGGGAACAAACAATTGGAAGCACTCGACACTTTGAATGACTTGGATGCCCTCTATCGGGTCCTCATCAACCAGAAAACTTATGAGCCTGCCCAACATCTTGGATCCAAGGGATCCCAGGCCAAAACCTTCCAGGCAGCAATCTGACAAAGCAGTTGAGGCAAAAGTTGGGAGTCTCACTCAGGATCAAAACAGTGGATCAGCCAGTGCGGTACCCGTCCTCGTGGAGGCGCCTTGCCTTTGATTGTGGAGCTACTGATCAATCATAAAAACGATCCAGGCATTGTCCCAAGCGAGGTGCTCCTAAGGACAACGGTCTGAGTACTTAAACCAACTCCAAACTCAAAACTCTTATCAAAGACAAGCTTGCTTCCATGCCTCCCAACACGCCATATCTTACCTCTCCATACCCTCTCACGAGTTCACCAAACCAACCACTGCACAAAGGGAGACATTTCCGATGATGCCAACCACACCATTTCTGTTGATGGGAAGGTGGTTGCTAATACTGTCGCAACTGTTGAAGGTTCTCCAAAGGCACCAGTGCTCATTTCACCAGTGAACATCGTGCGTTCCGCAAGTTTCCATACAAGGCACCCTCTTTGTTGGCAACCACTCCTCCACCACCCGCTGCCCAGCATCGCCCCAATCACTGCTGGTGGCAACCTTCATTCTTCCGCCATGGGATTACCTTTGTACGCTGCTGATGTCCCTGTTCTAGCCACTGATGAGTATATCCACGCCAGTCCCAATGTTGGGTATAATTTCGATTCCATGCAGGTCAACATGGCAGCAGTAGATCTCAGTTCTGATGAGACCTCCGCTCTCTTCAGCTACCTCAATGGGGCTTTCATGTGATGCTTCGGCAGAATAACACACTTGGCAACAGTGTTTCTCATTGCCTATTCTTTTGCCCCATTTTGGCCTTTCTATCTCGGGTCTATTCCTTCTCATGTATTGGAGGGAGAAGATGAGTCTGCTATACAGACATTTATCAAATACACTTCGAATTCCAGCCCTGATTCTTGGAGGGAGCAACCTTTCTTCAGTCTCACCGCTAAAATGGCTGATGTTGTCTCTGCTCCCATATCTTTCCCCACCATATCCTCATTGGACTATGTCTCCGGGTGCGGATGTGTGTTTGTCTTTCTTGGTTTTACAACTTGCTTCTAAAGTTCAAAGGTTATACCATTCTTCAGTGGCTCTCTTGCATCACCAAACTTGTTCTTCCACGCTTCAATCGGCCAAAACATTTTGATCCCGATCCAGACCCAGACTCATTACTTGTCAATTCCCAAAATGATTCTTCGGACCTGTGTACACCGATGTCTCTTCTTAAAGCATAAATTAACTCTTAAGGACACCTATGTCGTCTCTCATCAACCCCAACTCAACCAGCTTTCTCGCCAAAGTCGTGCCAACAGGACCCTGTCGAGATACAAGCTGATGGGCATCCTTGGAGTCATTTGGAACTCATTCGCTGGGGCACAATCATTCCAGCTCTCCAGTGATCTTGCCTTTAGAAAACAGCTTCGAAGCTATCCATCAATGCAGGTGAGAACTTAAGACACACAGTCTCACGCGACCACACATGCTGGCCATCCAACAACGCATCCAATCTTCTAATGAATCTTTGCCCAAGTCACTTCTATTGCCCATATGTCTTCAGTGCTATTGTTCATAGTGGATGTTCCTATTCTCTCACCAATACCTTTCATGATGTTGACCCAAATTCTATCAGAAAGCGTTCCGAACCAATTATCCTAGGAGTCATCGCTGGAGGCCTGAGCAATGAGTACATCGGCACTACTGATTGGGAGACTTTGGATGATCAAGCAAATGTTGTGTCATTTCGGGAGAAGTTTCTTATTCATCCTGATCTTCCCAAACAGACTCCTAAGCCTTCAAGCTTTCTTGTCCCATCAGGGACTTGTTTTTTACCCAAAAATCATTGCAAACTCACGATCAGCATTCAGAGTCTACGACGACCATGCTGAATGGCATACGGAGGAAAGAAAATGCTAAAAATGAAGTTTGACTCCAGTTTTCTACACGACTTACTCTGTTCACAAAAGGAAAGGCACTCTCTTCACTAAAAGCAATGACTTCATTCTACATTTACCACAAACAGAAACCTTTCTATTTTGACAAAATCTGGCTGCAATGGCATGACAAGTTGGGACATCTGTCCTTCTACCATGTCCAATCTCTTGGGTGGGGTGGTTTCTTAGACAAAAGGGTTTCTCGGTTGCTTAGAAGCAAGGTCGGGAATCATCCTAAATGTGCCGCTTGTCAATATGGAAAACAAGTCAGGCAACATGATCACACCACTGTCACCAAGAAGCTCCCAGACAAACAGGGAGCGCTCAAGAAAGAACAATTGGAGCCGGGTATGACAACCTTTAGTGATCAATTGAGTCAAGAGTCAGAGGGAGATTGTTTCACACTGCCGGAAGGGAACAAGATAGCAATAAATTCTGTGGAACCTCAATATTTTGTGATGCTGCATCGGCTGTCATCTTTGCCCACCACCAAGTTACATTAAATGCTTCTGATTCTATCATGGCCAAGAAGCATACGGCGATGGTGTCTCGAACATGGGGTTGTGGTTCAATCATATCACACTGACAATGGCATCTACAAAAGCCAAGCATATGTCCAACATCTTAGGGACCACCATCAATCAATTAAATATTCTGCGACCGGTGCCAAATGGCAGAATGGGGTTTCTGAGGGTGCCATTAGAATTGTAGTACCAAAGCTAGAACAATGAAGATCCATGCTGCACTTTCTATGGCCTGAAGTTGATGATTAATCCCTGTGGCCCGTGGCAGTCTCTCATGCAGCTCACCTTTACAACCACACTTCCGAATTCAAGTTACTGCGCATTGCTCCATGAGAATTTCCGAGTCCAGTGAAGTCAAGTCATCAGAATGCCCATCCATGAGCCTGCATCATTTGGAACCCGCTTACCAATGAAGAGAAAGATTCCAAAATGCAGCCAGTCCAGAAAGCAATAGGTGCCCCTCACCTGTCCATCAAGAAGATTGCTTGATCCGCAACCTACAACCCGGAACCTTCCCCCAGTACCATCTTTTATGATGATGGTTTGAGACAAGTTTACTCTTCAGATGATCAACCACTCTCTAGAGTGGATCCAACATGTGCATTCTTCCATACCCTTCGAAGATCCCCTATTGATGAGGACACTCCACTCCCTTACGAGAGTGGCTACGCCAGAGATAAAAGCCATCAACTCAGCACCGACTTATCTTCAGAAGCTTGAACATGGAGAAAGTTATGGCAATGACAAGAAAGATAAAAGGTATACTCATTGCAAGCTCCGCCCACACAGGCCCCAGGTTTCCACAGTTGGATTTGATATTCCAATCGTCTGCTTCACACCTCAACGCATCAAAATTAACCTCCACAGGAACTCCACCACCCAACCCCACTCACTGACGATCCACATCAGCCAATCACCCCCCGTTGATAATCCTCTAGAATTTCAGCCCACACAAAGCAACCTGAACTGACCAATAGTTGAAGAACAATGCGGTCTTCCCATTCCTCTTGATTGCTTAGCTTTACAACTTGTGATTATTTTCCAATTCTGGCACCGAGAATCTCTAGGTGAATGTTTCACCTTGATCCAATCTACCCAAGAATCAAATGTTTTCATCCGGCATCTTGCAAAGTCCCACTGGGCTCTCAGGCCAAAATTCCAAAGACCGATCTCCCCTCTCTGAAGGAATCTCGATGGACCACAGCAACCAATCTGGGCACAAGGACAAAGAAATGCCACCTTGAAGCAAGTACTTGGCACACGGACAACGTCTTCAATGCCCCACACCTTTAAAGGCGTTCCGGAACTGGGTGCAAACGAATTAAGAGTTACAGACGGACAATTTAAATAAGTTCAAATCAAGAGTGCTTGGCAGAGGAGACCGCACCATGAACCCCATACCCCACTGTGGTTGGCCCACCAGTAAAGCCGTCTTCTTCTTGCAGTCGGCACATGGATGGGAACGAAGACAAGTTGATTTTACTCTTGCTTTCTGTCAAAGCCCTCAACCTGTCGAACAGCCACTGTACATGGAATAGCCTCAGTACTATCGACCCAAAGGCTATGAAGGACAGGCTGTGTTTTAAACTTGACAAGTCCATCTAGGGCAGACCGATTCACTAAATTATTTTATGAGCATCTATGTCGGGATGATCCAACTTGGTTTTGAAACCTCGGCAGAGACCCATGTTTGTTTATTCATAAGGGCATCAACTCATGGTATTAAATTATGTGATGACCAAATCTGGTCAGTCACAGACAATGATCTATTGAGTCCTATGTTGGGCATCCAGAAACTTTGATATGACCTCACATGGAAGAAAAAGGTGACATCTTTGGATTCTCGGCATTAATTTTGAAAGACAGGAGACAATGTTGAGCTTACTCAAAAAGGCTCACAATAAAGTCATCGAATATACGGTTTGTCTGACGCTAGCAAGAACTTCTCCTGCGCCACCTGATCCTCTCGGAGCTGACAAACTGGGGGCCCCATTTGAAGAAGAGTTGAGCTATCCAGCTGCAGTGGGATGCTTCTTTAAATTGCGTCGAACACTCGCCCAGACAACATTTGTGTGCACCAGTTTGTTTGTTTGTTAATCTCCGCCGGTGCTGTGAGGGGTTGGGTAACACGAGATGCAAGCAAGCTACCCTATCCTCCCAGCACCTAGAATTGCTAGATTAGAATAAGTTACTACTGCACTACTCTATGCTCCTCTCCTTAGTTGACAGAGAAGCTCGTAGTGTGCACCAGGTGTCACGATTCAGTCACAATCCAGGCATTCCATGCTCAAGCAATCAAACGTATCAATCGGTATCTGATTGGCACAAGTTACAAAGCATTTGTTTTAAGCCCTAACTTGATCAGGGACTTGATTGTTGGTCGATGCTGACTCGCCGATTGTATGGATATGAGGAAGAACAGGATCCTGTGTCCTCAATTCTCGCACTGGATTTGTCCTGACTCTGTTTGGGTGCCCATTATCTGGTCCAGCAAGCTACAACTGATATTACTTTGAGCTCCACTGCTTGAGTATGTTGCCTTCAACATTCATGAGGGAGCTGCTTCCTTGCGAGCTTGCTCAAAGAAATTGGTAGCAAACTGAATATGCCGGTAATACTGACAGTCTCGTGCGCTCTACAGTGTTCGAAGACAACCCAGGTTGCTGTCTCTTGTGAAGTTTTCCCAAAATGTCTGCGCGCAACAAGTATTTGGCATGAAGTACCACTTCTTCAGGTCCAATATGGGAGTCGAAGGGCATCGTGGTAAGTATATTCCGACTCTGGAACAACGGGCGACAATTTCACTAAGGGTCTTCCGCTCCACAGTTTCTGTCATTCGAAGCTCCTCATGGGATGTATTTACCTCAGCACTTGCTGGGACTCTCTCCTATCGTTTCTTGCTCCAGCTTCATTTCAGCTGTAAGGAGTGCGACGGGATACAGCTTACAATTCAGCTTACAGCTTACAATTAGCAGGCTTATTCTAGAAAATAATCAATAACTGCTCACTTATTTGGAAATACAAACTTTACATCTCTTAGATCGTTAGATTGATCAATGCACAATGGTATTGTCGCATAGGCATACCGGTACGAGGCGTGCCTGCTGCAGTGGGCAAACTGGACACGTATGCATCCGCGTCCGCCTTGGACGCAAACAACTTGGAACTAATCAGCGTGTCGTCCAAGTCCAACACCACAATCAGATCCGAGTGACAGTCAAGAAGAAGTTCGGACCGACGGCGACTGGACGAAGCACTAGAAGAACGAAGGATTCGCTTGTTGGTCATGATTTGGATGCTTTTCAATGTTGCTGGCTTGGCTGCTGGCTGCGATCGATGAGCGATGCTAGTTGTTTATAGTATGGTACAAACGAGTAGTATGCCGGTGAGAGTTGTGGGAGATTTGGAGTCCACAGTCATTGCATTTGGGGCGAACGAGGTAGTACGGACCGACTAGCAACAGCTTCAATCGTCGGCGTTTCTTCCACGCCGCGGCGCCACGCAATGGCTTCGCGAGATCCAAACCAGTCAATCCCCGGAACCACTACAACGCGCTACCGGTGCGATTTATCGGTCCAGATCAAAACCTCGTGGTGGGAAACATAGCGGTACTGGTTGGGGGGACGAAGTGCGCAAACTGCAATCATTGATGTCGGAACTGCTCGGAATTCGAATGCATCAATCATCAAAAGCGATTACGGTACATGGTACGTCTTCACAAAGTGAGACATCGTTTGAACCATCGTTGAACCAAACCTTCATTCGAACGAGCTCCCTCTTCGAAATCAGATGGTCACTCGTCAAAAGCAACTGATAACACTGCATCATCTGGTTCAGCGAAACCTGGAAATTGCCCTCTTGTCCAGCCTAATCCGTTCTCGACAGTTGTTTTCTTCCCCACCCAGTACCTCTCCATTTTGATAGGATGCAGATCCAGAGAAGTAGGGTACAACTGAACAGAATCTATTCAGCTGGTAGTCATCGCACTCACCCTGAACACACGAATATGCCATGATGGTTCGAAAAGTACCTGTTGGAGAGCGGAAGCCATAGTAGGTATTCTTGTTGTCATCGCAAGCATCATCGGTGCCACGATCATGAGAGCATCCCTATATACAGGTAACCAAATCAGAAGCATGACAAGACTTGAGTGCATTGGTGGATTTTGCAACCGCACCACCACTGCAAAATGGACGCACCATGTTGTGACCATATTCATGTGCAGGAACTACATGTAGAATGATGAATTGAGCCAAGATGGCACATGAAACAACGAATGAGGCAAAGCAGTAGCATAATACAAGTGAGACAAATCATGCACGATCACAAGTCGACATACCGTAGATTGCAAACATGCAACCAGCAGCATAGGTGGAAAACCCTCGCGAGGGTCTCAAAGGAAGGTTCCGAGGATATGGAACGTAGGCACGACCACAAAAGTTGTCCTCTGCTACGCGATTGTCAAAGATAAATGTGACCAGGTCTGCCTTATAAAACTCCCTCAAACGATGGATGTATTCCAATTGGCCATCCCCAGAGGCAGAACTTGTCATGTCTTCCAATATTGCAGAAGTGCTCTCTTCTCTGTATCCCGTAGGATCGCGTTGGCCATGGGCTAAACGGAAGACAGTGCTTGTGTCGGAATTCTGGTATGCAAAGTTTGTTGCGACCATGACAAGTTCAGATGCAGCCAGCATATTGTCCCGAGTGTCTTCTGTGAGAGTACAATCAACCCCCAAAAAACTCCGACGGCATTCTGCATTTTGTGACCAGACAATCATGACATCTACCACTTGTTCTTTGGCCGGATCTATTCGAAGGATCCACGGTAGATCCCGCAAGTATGGCCAGGGGAGACTCCACAAGTATTCCAAGTAGTTATACACATCATAGTACCAAGATTGCACTTGACCAATGATTTTTTGCTCATTGGCTGCTAAAGGAGGAATGTCACCTTCATATGTCACTGTGACAAGGACTTCTCCATCAAGGCTGGGTCCTATCTCATACCATAGATTGTTTTCACGGTCACTAACCACACCAACCAGCTTGTCACCGGAATTATCTGATGAATGTCTCATCAAATGGCAGGCAGTCATTCCATCATCAGTTTCACCATAGAAATGATCATCTGTTGTGTGGAAGTTGATAAAATTCCAGGTTGGCAGGTCTTCCAAAAGCTGCATATCCAACCTTGCAAAGTGATAGAAGTCTGTCCCAGCATCGTCAAGACCAGAGGCATCTAGAAAGTAGACAGTTTCATCAGCCCTTGTCTCTGAGGCTTGGTTTGGCTTTGGCCGAATGTGTTGTCCATTGACTGATTGGAGGGTCATGGAACCAACACAAAGCAGCTTCACTACATGTATTGATAGAAACATAGCCAGCATTGGTTGTATGCTGTTTGATGAGAACATCTTGGTTGTTGAACCACCAGCAATCAGACGTTCTGATCCTGCGGCTGGTACCATGGGAGGTAGCTTGGATCAAACCCGAAGATCTACTCAAGTTGGTGGTGGTGTGGTGGTGGAATCAGTTCCACCAGAAGCCACAACGCCAAGCATGCAAGTCTGAGATCTGGGACTGTTTTAGTCGCTGAAATCGCCGACAATTTAGGCTCGGTGCATGTCACATAGAGTAGAGTACGATGTATGCATAGTCTTCATGTACATGTAGCCGCACGTTCTTTTAGAAATCTTGAGGCTGGGCACGGGCTAGCTAGAGTTGGGGGGAAGACACATGTACCGGTGCATGTAAACCTCATCCCTACACGATCTTCCGCCTATTCGCGACAAAGTTGGATCAGGAGATGAACAGAACGAATGTTGCCTTTTCTATAGTTTGCTGATCAGAGTACTCCAGTACAATACTCCAGTAGTAGTCTAGCTAGCTAGGTGTGTCTACTCGGAGTATATTCGCAACACGAGAATGTCTGGCTGTCTTTTCTGTCTGCAAGCAAACTTGCGTGAAGCAAAGATAGTGTTTTTGTTTGTCACAAAGATTAGTAGTTGTTATTTTTGTCTACTGCGCCGAGGGCTTGCTTTTACTTTAGTGATGATCCAGCCACAAGCCGAAGCTGTTGGGTGCCCAGCCAGCAGACAAGCAGTGCAACTGCAGATGCCCACATGATGTAAAAGCATGGTCACCACGAACCACGAGACACGAGACCTCTGGGCTGGGTTGGCTCATGTGCTCATGTACATGTACATGTACATGTACATGTACATGTACCACAGCTCGCTGGCCAAACAGCAGAACATGACGCTTGACAAACTTTTGACAGAGTGACAGAGGGTTGAGGGCAGAAGGCTGAGCTCTAGCTGGTGCTACCAGGGAGAACGCTGACAGACCATGATGCTGTGGTGAGTACTAGCACATACATGTAGCGAGTACGGTAGGTTCCCATTTGCGCACTTGAGCTGGCGCCATGATGATACTCTACTCCAGTAAGCTGGCCTGTGCTGAAGCTTCCCTGGCCAGTTTTGTATTCGATTGAAACATTGGGCTGAAGACCATGATGCTCTGGCCACTTACCAGGTTGTGAGTTGTTGGTTGTGATTAGGTTCCCATTGGAGACTGAGGTGGCGCCATGATTTCTGATGGGCTGTGATTGAATGATTCATTAGCTGTTCCTTCGTGCTCCTCTTGTCATTTGGCCTTTAAATCACTGCTCGCGAAGACAACTTTTTAGCAGCTGCTGATCAAAACTGCCCCATCACTGAAGATTCAATGCGTACGAGAGGCTTTTATAAGAGACAGAAGCTGACAGAGGATGCCGCCAAAAGGTGAATTCTTTGCTAAATTTGTTTGTGTCCATTGAAAAGACAGTTCTGGGAAAGTCCTGGTGCGAAAGAAAGTACTCAAAATTTGAAAATTTGAATGCCCACTCTATGTTTTATGGACCGATGCGAGGCTAGCATGAAACTTTCTACTCAACCGAAAGCTTTCTGGATCTTGCTTCTTCTATTTCTGGCCACTGGTCCAAAGTACATACATAGTACATGTAGTGGTACGGTAGTAGACTACGTATACCGGTAACTTGCCAAGCAACTCGGGTCCGCTTCAAGTGTACCGTGCGTACGAGCGGTGGTAAAAAGAGCCAAAATAGGAATTCGTAGAAACACCTCATAATTCTTTAGAATGCCGAGCATGAAACTTTCTTATCAACCGAAAGTATTCGGGATCTTGTTCTTCTTCTTCTGCGCCACCTCAGTGCACTCCCCACTCTTCTGTGATCTTTGATGGCCTCACCCATCACCCATCATATAATATTATCTCATTCTTTTCTTCTTTTCCGTCACACTTTTAGAAAATTGCTTCAGAGCTCAAGCATCCTGCATTACCGGTACCATACTGCTCTATTCATAAAATACTAGTAGCAGCAAAGAAAGGCAACGATGACAATCCCAGGCGAAATCACGATTATCCTACGGGAAGCTCTTGATGTGTTGGATGATATCTCTTTGGGATCCTTTGAAGCTCTAGATTTACCGGAAGAAGACCACCAAGGCACGCCTTCTCCGCCCCTCATGTCGCGGTGGGAAAGTTCAGGTACTCTCAGCTCTCGTGCTAACGCTAATACTAGTGCCAGGCCAAGCCCCAGACTGCCTCGGCGTCAGAACAGCATGTATCTAGCTAGAAAGGCACAGGCACAAAAGGGCCTTCAAGACAACTGTATCTTTCTACCCAACCTCGCCTCTTCGACAAGACATCAGGACTGTGCCGGTTCAGGTACAAATTCAGGCTCAGGTACTAATACGCTTCTTCCACAACAGCCTATTACATGTAATAGCGCTACTGGTACTAGTATCAGGAGTTGCATCCCACCCAAGTTGCCGGTTCGGAAATGGCAGATCAGCAGCATATCATCGGTAGCCCAAGCTCAGGCAATCCAGAAAGGAAACGATAGACTAGCCATCAACCACCGGTAGTGGTCTCTCTGAAATTGACACCCGTTAGAATAGACATCAATTTTGTTTTTTAATAAAAAGCTTCTTCCATATTTTGCTCCATCTTTTTCAGTTGCGTACTAGCTATACTCTAAACCTATTTCATTCCTACATGTACTGTACTGTACTGTACTGTACTGTACTGTACTGTACTGTACTGTACTGGAGACTCCAAATATCAGAAGAAGCAGCCATCCAGCCCAAGGGGGCCGTCAGAGTAGCCGCATAGCCATACCGGTACCGGTATGCATAGATGCAGGAACAAGAGTACTGGCTGGTTTCTCTTTTCAACTGCGCGACTACAAGTACGTTTGCCCAAGACACTTGGTGTTTGCGCTTCATGGAATACTTTTGCATAGTCAAACTGAGTCAGACGATCACCGTACCGGTACCGTACCAGTATCATACTAGTAGCTTCATGCAGGCTTGGTGGCAGGATTGGTGCCATGGCACAGCAGTGAATTTTGCAAACCTCTATCTGCCATGGCGGACCATGCCTAGCTGGTCATCAGTCTCAGGATCAGTCCAAGTCGTATGATCAGTCCAAGGGGCAAGGGGATTCGGTTCTCTCGCGCTCATAGCAAAACCTTACATACTTAGAAGATGGACCACGTGTTGGCGATTTTGAACCGCACAGGCGCACGTCCGCTTAATTAATTAAATACCGCTATGCACAGCTTATGTTGGGCGATGGAGAAAAGATCCATCCCTCCAATCTCCAACAACTGTTACTCAAAACTCAAAAGTTTCATGAAGAGTCATCAAAACCTGTCCTTTCTGCTGCCGTGGAGTGTAGATGTCATACATCGTACCAGTACATGTAAGAACGCTCTTTAGAAACAGCTCATGTCACTGAAGTTTTGTTGGCAGACGATGAACTGCTTGGAAGTTTCTATGCTCTTGCTTTTGGTACTACATGTATACATAGTACCGGTAGCATTGGTTCATGGACAACACATTCGGCCAAAGCCAAACCAAGCCTCAGAGACAAGGGCTGATGAAACTGTCTACTTTCTAGATACCTCTGGTCTTGACGATGCTGGGACAGACTTCTATCACTTTGCAAGGTTGGATATGCAGCTTTTGGAAGACCTGCCAACCTGGAATTTTATCAACTTCCACACAACAGATGATCATTTCTATGGTGAAACTGATGATGGAATGACTGCCTGCCATTTGATGAGACATTCATCTTCATCCACACGGTCTACTAGAAATGATAAGCTGCTAGGCATGGTGAGCGACCGTGAAAACAATATCTGGTATGAGATCAAACCTGATTTGCACGGGGATGTCCTTGTCACGGCAACATTTGAAGGTGACATTCCTCCTTCTGCAAAAGACAATGCACACATTTCACAAGCTCAGTCTTTGTGGAACAATTTGCGGTCCACATGGTCGTACCTCAGAGATCTACCCTGGACGCTGAGACTTGATCCCGCCAAAGAGCAGGTGATTGACATTATGATTATTTGGTCAGAAAACTCAGAATGCTATCGGAGTTTTCAGCACGTTGATTGTACTCTTACAGAAGATACACGGGACAACATGTTGGCTTCATCTGAATTTGTCATTGCAACAACAAACTTTGCACTCGCTAAGTCAGACACAAGCACAGTCTTCAACCTGGCTCATGCACAAAGGGATACATCTGGGTACAGAGAAGCTGACACAACACAGATTCTCACGGACATGGGTGTACCTTTCTTTGGTCAATTGAGCTATTTGCATCCACTCAGAGATGAACACAAGGCAGACTTGGTTTCTTTCATTTACGACAATCGGATCATGGTAGAGCAGGGCATTGGTGGTCGTGCTCTACTCCCGATTCCACCTGGACTCCCATTGGCACCATTCATGGCATGGTCGACCTACTGTGTTGCGTGCCTTGGAGGAGGTTACAGTAAGGAAGCCTTGGTGTTTTTTAGACTCTTAGCGTATCCTCTTTCCTCACGTTTTTATCCATTCGTGTCTTGGATCTATTATAGTCCCAGCCCACGAGTATGGTCACAACTTGGTACGTTGATTTCATGCCTTGTGGTTTCTGGACGGTTTTAATTCGATTTCACACAGTGCTCACCTGGTTTATTTGACACTGATTCCAATGCTGTGTCTGTCACCTGAATTGTTGTTGTCTAAAGGGATGCTTTCATGATCGTGGCACTACTGATGCTTGTGATGACAACAAGAATGCCAACTATGGCTACCGCTCTCCAACAGGCACTTTTCGAACCATCATGGCATATTCGTGTGTTCCGGGGGAGTGTGATGACTATCAGTTGGATAGGGTCTGTTCAGTTATCCCCTACTTCTCAGGGCCTGCATCGTATCAAAATGGAGAGGTAATGGGTGGGGAAGAAAACAACTGTCGAGAACGGATCAGGCTGGACAAGAGGACAGTTTCCCGTTTTCGGTAACTGTATCGTACACCAAACCAAAAGGCCTGGCTCCACCATGTTGCGCGCAGCCTTGGTAGGTATCTACAATAGAGCGTTTGTGGCACATGAGCTTCGGACGATGATGAATGGGACTACGAGCCAAAGAGATAGAGAGAAAAAGACCAAACATAAAGAGTGCTTGGTCTTATGTTGTTCAGTCACTCAACAGATTGTGCACAGTACCGCAGTCAAAATCGTCTTCAACAACATTAAGTAATTACTCTTTTTAAAAAGAGGTTTGGATTTACGGGGGCCAATGCATCGAGGCGACGCAATATCTTGCCTAAGCGGTACGGTACCAGTATTGGATATCTTAGCCTAGCGATGTTTTTGCGACTTGGGCAACAAGGCATGCTGAGGCATGGGATAGTCAATCTCTTCCAGCATTTTGTCAGTCATGCGCATCATTTCTTTGGTCCCGACCGAAAGAAATCTGGCTTGGCTGCGGTCTTCTGGCTGGAAGACTTGGTCCAGGAGTTCAGGGTTGATGCGCCCTTTCAAGCAACCTTGGCGCTCTTCACGAGAGAGAATGTGAGCCATTTGGAACCTATCAGGGTACTTCTTCTTGAGGTCCTCAATCTTGTCATGCCAAAATGTATCTGCCATGGTTCGAGATGCCCAAAGGAGCACCACCTTCTCCGCATCCCCCTTCTCCAGCTCGGCTTGGGCAACAGGCAAGCATTCTGTGATACCCACTCCGAAGGCAATGCATCCAACAAACGAGCCAGGATTTCGATGGCGTCCTGCTGTCATTCCAAAAGTGCCCATTTCATCCCCAACATTCAAGCGATCGAGGAATCCACTGGCACGACCGTTGGGATACACCTTGAAGGTAATGTCAAATTCACCATCACGTATAGCGCTCATTGAGTAGGATTTGGGCTTGTAGCCTGGGATGACCATTTTGACAACATCTCCCAATTCAATGGCAACTTCTGAGTGGGGTTTGGCTCTACCACTGAAGGCGGAATCGTCCTTGGGTATTGCAAAGGTAAGTGTATGAACTGGCAAATGGTTGGGCGCGGCAGGCACCAAAGTAGTTTTCTTGATTAGTTTGGTCGGGGCGCCCAGCCACCACGGAGTTTCGGTGGAAACCATTGTTGCTAGAGCCGTCATGACACGAAAGATCATTGGTAATGGAGCAGATAAGTTTTTGTGTTTTGTTTTGTTTTGTTTTGCTTCCAGATTGTGAGCTTTGAGATTGTGAGAAAGAGCCCTTGTTGGGCAACTGAAGAACAGTATCGATGTTTTGAGTTTCCTCGCCGGTACTCAGTGAGTCGTGAGCATAGGCGCGTGCTCACCACGGTTTGCTGGTCGTGGGAAGAACTCCGTTTTGACACGATCGCTCGCCTTTGCAAGGTTTCCAGAGTTTCATTAGGGTTTTTTAAAGGCTCATCGAATATAATAGAGTCTTTTGTGCGTCCAGCGCAAACAGCATCCGTCCTGTCGCCTCCGCATTCAACAGATCATTGCAGAGAGATACAGTCGTAGCAATAAATAGCTAGCAAGATAGTCGTAGCTGCTACAAGCACAAAAATGGAGGAACCACTGGATCTAATCCGTTTGTCAATATCTGAGGTTGTCTTTGTCAAGTGCAGAGGAGATCGAGAGCTCCGTGGAAAACTACATGTGAGTTGTGTTCTGTACGGTAGAGATCCAGTGGCTACCGTTGCCGTCCGTACCGTACGGTGCGCATGCAGTGCGCATTTTATCTTTCAAGCTGGCTAGCTAGCACGGTGCATGTAGCTTGGACTGTCTGCCTGGTAGCGCTGATTACTCAATCAGTGCTGTGTTCTGGTTTAGCTCTGATAGCTACTCACTCCTTGCTGGCACCTCGCTGATTCCTTCCCTATGCATGCTACCTCTCAGGCCTATGATCAGCACCTGAATTTGATTTTGGGGGATGTGGAAGAGACTGTGACAAGTACAGAGATTGATGAAGAAACTGACGAAGAAATTGTCAAGAAACAAACGAGAAAAGTCAAAATGCTCTTTGTCAGGGGGGATATTGTGGTTCTGGTCTCTCCACCCTTGAGGACTGGGTAGGATGGCTAGCTAGCTACTAGGCCCAGCTAGCTGACAATAACAAGGAAGCAACGGATGTCATTGCATGAGCGGCTCTGGAATTTCACGTCTTGAGGACTGCCATGAGGATCTGTCGCCTTTTTTTGCAAAAACCCCGTGGGCTTAACGGCAGTTGACAACCCATAAAGCGTAGCCTTCTTCCTTTCTGTCTAGCAATAGTGTTGCCCCTTCCCACTTAATTCAGTTTCTAGCCAGCTAGTAGGCTGGACGGCAATTGATACCGATCGGTACGATGCTGTCACTTCACTACGGGTAAGACCAGAGTCCAGAGACAATCACGCAGGGAGTGGAGATCATCAGGTGCATCGCAGCGAGATAGCATTTTCTATTTATTCTTAGCAGCTGCGATGTGTCTTGGCTATCTATGACCAACGCAACTATGAGGTCACCCAGCCTCAAAAAGCGGCGTAGTTGCAAATGGTTTGTCATCCTGCTCAACGAGTCTTTTTTCCCTCGGCAACAGATGATGAAAAGTAGTCGTTCGAAGCCAATGAATTCGGTACAGCAGCAGCTGTTGCACCGAAGTCCGGATGAACATGATTTTGGGAGTATACCTGGGAATACTCTTGCTCTGGCGGCCAATCGTAAAAGCGCTGGTACATCAGAGGAGAGTAGGGCACCACAACATACTGGACCTCCTGAGGATCCACTGGCTTGTGAGGTTTGCGTTTCTGGTCTTGCGAGATGTGGCCCTGAAACACTGCTTGGTCCATCGGCACTGGCATTTCTTCCGGCTCGCGGTTGGGTCGAGCACGGGGTTTCTTTGGTGGTAAAATGCCCTTTTGCCGAAGCACACGGTAGACCAAATTCTGGGGTCCCACAAACCACAAGCCCAACACGAAGAGGAACCACCTCCAGGGAAAGACAAACAGCAACGCCACCAGCGCAAATCCCAATAGTGAAATCCAAAACGACAGAAAGGGATCTCGCCAAGTCATCACATTGAACAAGGCACGAAAGGCACTCAAAAAGCTGTGTGATGCCCCAACAATAGGCTCGACGTACTGACCCACGCGTCCCACAACGGGGTTCACGTGCGAATACTAACAAAGAAGAGTAGAGGCAAGGTAAGTACGTGAGAACGCATCCATTATTTGAAGCAATCGCACGTATAGTAACCCGTTGCCAACTCACCTGACCGATCTGCAGCAGCTTGTTCAGATCTTTCTTCACTTGACCTTTTCGTCGTCTGGTGGCATTTGCTGATTGACCAAAGTAAACCGAATCCGAGTCTCGGATGATGTAAGCACGGTCGTTGAACTTTTGAAAGGTGAATTGATGCATTTGGTCCTTGACATCTTGCAAATCATCTGTCAAACGCTTCCGATTCTTGTCCTTGGGGTTGCTTGCCTGCCCACCGTAGTCAATATCTTGATCTGGTTGCATCCGTCTCGGAGAAGTGCTGTCGTCACTATCGTCGGACCGCAGAGCTGAAGCGCCAGCTGCGCCGTGTTCACCTCCTTCGATGACAGCACCTCCCTCTTCACCATCGTAGTCGCTCTCCACATCCATCTCTGCTATCGACGACATCAACCCATGGTCCCCGACAAGTAATTCGGATTCGTGTCTTTGTCGATACGGGTAGTGCAGTGCCGACCTTTCATCCAGCTCGTCCAGCAGCCTCGAATCATCCAGCTCGTAGTCGTCGTCGTCGCCGTCTTCTTCTTCTTCTCTTCCGTCGTCATCAGGAGCAATGTTCTGCTGGTGGCTGAGTGGAAAAAGCTCGTTGGATGTCCGTCGCACCAAATCGACCGTGTGGTGAAGTGGCGAAACCACCAAGGGAGACACCAGGTGATTGTTCAATCCACGAATACTAGTCTCAATCGCACTGTGCCCGGTCTTGATTCCGCTCTTGATGGGAGGAACGACATAATGCAGCCCTTCCTTGATCGCAGAGTGACCTCCCTTGACAACGGGAGAGACGACATATTGCAACCCGGTGGCTTCCCCCAACGTCTCTCCGACTTCCATCAACCCCGAAGCGGCTTCCATCAATTGTGTGGCACCAGTCTGACGAATGAACTTTGCCGTGGCGAACCGTTGTTCTTCGTCGTCGTAATCGTTCATACCGGACGTGTCTTTGCGCAAAATCTTGGAAACACGTAGCTTGAGTCGCTGGCCGCGGCTCCTGACGGGACTGTTCCTGTTGCTGGCCTTATTGTTGTTTTTTCGTCGCCGTTTCTGGCTCGTAGCCAATGAATCTTCGACGTCAAACCGAGGATAGACTCTTCCGTCGGCATACGGGAACTCCAGATGGTAGTTGGGCCCTTCTTCCTGCTGCTTTTGTTGCTGCTGCTGCAGGGCATCACTGGGTTCTGGCTGATCCAGGAATCCCATTGCCTGGAACAATGGTTTGCCTCTTGGTTGATGCGTGTCAATTTGAACACGCTGCACCACTCCATCGTCATTGTTGCCGTTATTTGTTTCACCATTAGCTGTAGGGTGCTGCTGTGCCGCCGAGGTAGACGTCAAACGCATCTCGAGCGGGTGGATTGCTTGGTCGTAATATTGCGGCAGGACGAGTCCAGCAAGCAGTTCTTCCCAAGACGGCGGAATGAACCCTCGTTGCGCCGGTCCATCCATTCCATATCTAGCATAGTTTCGCACCATGAGGATACAAAAGTATAGGACGACGTATGCGGGCACCAGCGAGAATGCATTTTGGTAAACGCAATGCATCCATGCCAAGAAGCAAAATGCGGAAATGAGTGGATTCTTCCAGTCTCTGACTTCGGCAATGGTGTTTCGGACAATCTCCATGACATTCCTTCGAGTAAAGTTGATTTCTCGTATGGTTGCTCGGAGCTGTTGAAAGGAAAATCGTCCTGGCAAATGTGCTCCATGAACGGTAATGGCGACATTTCGAAACGCCCTTGCCGATCCACAGGTGACGACCGTGTCCGTGTTGGGTTTGAATTCTTTGAGGTTTCGTGGCTTTGGCAGTTTTTTGTCGGGTAGATAAGAGAGAAGAGCGGCTCGTACAGACGTCCATTCGAGTCGAAATCGCAGTCGAATGGCTCCTCGTTGTCGTTTGGAATAAACGTGTGCGGACAATCTGAGTGGCAACGTGACATCGTATGTGGAATTGGGTCGTATCCGTGCGACATCTAGTACAACTCGTCCGTGAAAGTCGTCCTTGTTTTTCTTGTTGTCATCGTCAAAAACTCCAATAAAGACTCTAGCGTATGCGTGATGTAGTGGAATGGAACAAGCACGTTGACTGTTCGCGGGCCAAATGGGTGACTGTTTATCCTTGATGACTTCTGTGCAAAAGGCATAAGGCCCACTGACAACGTACACGACAGCGTCGGTCTTGAGTTTTGGCAAAGCGATTCCCTGCAGTACTTCCATGTGTATGGTTCCAATGATTGGTTGTTTGGATGGATTCTTGGGCAAGTCCAGACGACAGGGATTGTGTTGTAGGTCATGGAACGTAAGTGATGGTTTTTCCATTTCTTGGTTTAGTTCTTGTTGTGTCATCCATACGTTTGGATAGGACCGTTGTGGAATGACGCGATACTCCTTTTGTCGTTTTGTTTCTTTGCTGTTGCTGTTTATTGTCGTGTGTGTATTATTGTTTGGGCGTGGTGGTTGTATGGTTTGTTGTTGCTGATCTAGCTGTAAGGACTGTCTTCTAAAAGCCGCCGAGGAAGATGTCCTAGTGCGACTCTTGTTAGTAGCAAATGTGGGAGACTTCCATGGCGAATGTCTTAGAATGATCGGTTTCTTGATTCTTGGTTGTAGCGAGAGCCTGTTGATTTTAGCAAACGCCTTGAGCCAGAGTAGTTTTTCATTGGCTCCATGTCGGCACTTGAAGTAGAATCGCAGTGAGGGTGTGTTGTTGTTGTGATTGGCGTTGTCTTGGTTGTGATTTTGATTTTGATTGTTTTGGTTGAGACTGTTGTTACTGCTGGTACTGATCATGGATGTGGAGCTCTCTTCATCTCTTTCTCCTTCTTGTAGACTACATGTACTAGTATCTTTGTGTGTTGGTGACATGATTTCCAGCACAAAAGTAGAAGAGTCATTTGCCACATCCTTGACATGCCATTGAGCAGAAGATGGAATGAACCAATTGTAAGCCAGGACTTGTTCTTGCTCCTTTTCTAGTTGGTTTTTCTCTTTTGATTGGTTTGAGTTGATTGAGTTTTTGTACATGGATCTGTTTCTGTGTAGTTTGGAAGGAGATCTCTTCTTCTGCTTGGTGTTGTTGTTGGTGTTGGTATGAATGGAGTAAGCAGCCATAGTCTCTTGATTCAAGTCCAAGACCACATAGCGTCTTTGCCAAAAGAAGAAAGATCCAGCTTTGTTGCTAGTAGAAGTAGAACTTGTACCACTGTGATGGTTGCTCTTCCTTCCCTTTCTCCAGTAGAGAACTCCTTCTAGTGAAGCTGCTGCTTCTTCAGTCACACTTGCTGATGGATCTTCACCATTGTCATTGTCAACTATACTAGTATAGCTAAAGCTGTCAGAATGGTCTTGATGGGAGTCAATCATGTCATTGTCATTGTGGACGTACAGAGGATCCAAAGTCGAATCACTCGAATCGAACGCTTGCTCCATCATCTTCTCCTCCTAGCTACTAGTAGTATGTGTAGTGTGTTGTACTTGATGAAGTGATGAAGGAAGGATCAATTGGTGCTCATACTCATGGTCGTGTCTGCAAATCTTGTGGTTTTGTCAGTACTGGTACATGTACTCACACTATTAGACTAATACAAGCACCTGTTTGCTGTTTGCTGTTTGCTGTTTTGTCGTGTGTGAAGAGTTGAGTTGACTTTTGTTGTGTGTGATTGCGGAGAGGCCCACGCCATCACAAGTCAAATCAAATCGAATGGCGCCTTCTCAAACTGTTGCCACACAAGGCCCGCCTTCCTCAACGCAAGTCTTGTAAATAAAACAAATTCGCGTTTGACCGGTTCCGCGCACGAAAGGCTTATGCTATCAATACCGCTCCGACGCAATGTTTGTCACACATGTCTGTCGCCAAACCACAGCAATCAGCCACTCGGGAATCCAATCAGCAACATGCTTGAAAGATGCTTCCGAGTGCAGTGATGAGAGAGGTTCGGAGGAGTGTAAGAACAGCTCTGTGAACTAATACGGTACTGATCGAACAACTCGTGCAGGACAACCGTGCACGGCTTGGCAACCAAAGACCAAGGCAATGGGGAACCATGGATAGAACACTCGACTCGGAGATATCCGTTCGGAACCAACAATAACAGTAACTAGCTAGCTAGCTATACATGTAGGACCATGCCGTGTTGCTTGAAAGTGGGTTGACGATCGAGAGAAAGAAAATTTGGAAGAATCGAATCGCTGACTGTCACTCGACTCGGAACTTGCAAACACACACGAGACCGTCCTCTGCTCCGCTTGCATTATTGAAACTGTTTTCCGAAAGACTTGACTAGACTACACTCGTTACTCTTTTGGAGACACGTTGCTTATCTGCAAGCTGCCTATCCACCAATTATTCGCCAGCCGTACGGTACTAGTACTAGAGAACGCCGCACGTCAAATCGAGGAAGCATTCAATCGTGGGGTTTTCGACATGGATTTTCCCGTTCCAACGAAGCCAAAAACCCAACTTCTAGCTAGCCATAGGCGTACCGGTATGGGTTTTTAAGCCTAACTAACGTTACTTACTTTGTAGGAACTACTAGCTAGTACCTACCTATTGTCGCAACCGTACCTGAACAGGAAAGCCCCCTTTCAGCTGGATAATGAAATGCCAGTCGTACATTCCATTGTGTCCTTGCAAATCTTCAAATTCAAACCTTTGGACCAGATACGCCACTGTCAACTTCAATGTGTTCAGGGCCATGGGTTTCCCAAGACACAACCTACGTCCAGCATTGAACACTGGAAATTGGAATGGGGTGGGTTCTTTGCGGTTCAAAAACCTGGATGGCTTGAACTCACAGGCATCACTGCCCCAAATACGACTGTTCCTTCCCATGGCATAGGGCGGATACCCCACCATGGCTCCCTTGGGGACAAACGTTCCATCTGGCAAAACATCATCATTGACCGCAAATTTGCAATCATTTGGAACGGGAGCATGAAGTCGCAGCGATTCCATCACAACTGCATGAATGTACTCCAACTTTCCAATGGCCTCATAAGAATAGTCTCCATCAGTGTCACCATCACCACTACTAACAGTGCCACAAATTTGATTGGCTTCTTCCAGCACATTTTCCACAACTTCCGGGTGCTTGCTGAGTTCATAAAATGTCCAGGAGAGAGCCGAAGCCGTAGTGTCACGGCCGCCCAACAAGAAATTCATGATAACATCCCTTAGTTCCTCATCTGGCATGGGGTCATTGTGCGTGTTGGCATAGTCAATAAAGCGACTCAAAAGGTCTGGACCCAGTTTGCCGTCTTGGGCAGTGCGCCTTCGGCTTTGAATGACCTCCTTGGCATTGCTGTCCAGTACAACTTTGAGCTCTCGGATCCTCTTCTCTCTTGCCGTTAGATTGAAGTATCGCTTGAGCTGAAAGAGGGGATCTCTCATTCGAGACAACAGCAGCCCTTGAATTTCATCAAATGCCAGGGCAAAGGGATGCTGGGATTCGTTCTGAATGCCTCCATAATCTACTCCAAAGCCAACAATTGATGTCACTTCAAAAGTGAGGCGAAAGAATAGATCTTGGATATCAACTTCCTTGCCAGTGGTTGTGGCATTCTTGAGAACAGCTGAAAGCTCTTGGACTTTCTTCAAGGTAACCTTAGAACTCTCTCTGAGTAAGCTGGAAGAGAACATGCGGGAAGCAATCTTTCGGTGGCGAAGCCAAGTTGCTCCATCATCCGCAATGAGCCCATTTCCGCCAAGTTCAAAAAACGCCTCTTTGAAGAGAACCCCTTGAGAATAGTTTTCAAAGTTTTTGCTGAGAATGTGTTCAATGTTTTCTTCATGGGTAAGAATAAAGTAGGCTCCTCGCATGGTACCGAGGTATGGTACTGGGCCACCCCAAGTTCTCTGATACTTTTCACTGTACTGGTGAACTGTGTTGGGCCAGTCCTCAAAGTTTGCCATGATAAAATTTAGGATTCCCCAGAAGGGAGCCCTGGGAGGCCCTGGGATGGATTTGTCCACGGGGTAGGGCTTGAGACGGTTGTACACTTGAAAGACGACAGCAATGACCAAGGTTGCCACAATGGTCAGGAAGAACACCATGGATGAAACATCAGCTGGGGAGTCCATTAGATCTATTATTGTTGGAGGGAACATGGCTAACATGGCTGTTCGAGGTGGAGGATTCATCGAGTTTTTTGTGACTTTGTGTGAGCAAGGTTGAAAAACTGACTTTCGTTGAATGGTTATTCTTTCGTTGATGTCTGAATCGCTGAATGCCTTTGATGATGACTGATAACAGTTACTGATAACCCAGGAGCAATGAAACAACGATGGAGCATGGACGAGATGGCTTGATAGATCTCGAATGGCCGTCAAATTTTACTGGTATCGGTCAATTTACCACTCCCCCATGATTGATTGTCATTGAGTCTTGCTGGAATAGGGAATGGAAGCCAAAAATGTACAGTACGATGCTACAGTGTGCTGAGCTGATCATCTGATCGTGCCCATCATGCATGGACGCCGATCGAGTTGGCTCGGTCGGAAGGTTTGTGAAGTTTACCGGGGGATACCGGGGGTGGGTCAATTTACGGCGGCTGGGTTCTCCCATGATTGATTGTCACTCTTGCTGGAACAGGCCCCAAGAGCCAAAAATATAGGGATTGTGTGCTCGCATACTGAGTAAGTATCATACTACTATGGCCACATTACTAGTACATGACATGTGTATTGCCTCATCATCAGTCCGCAGTCCGCAGAATGACAGCAGCGCCACCAGTCCTCAAATCACACAACTTGCTGGTCGGTCTTCTCTGATGGTTTGTACATGTAGTACAAAATATAGCCACTGCGGTCTCCTCTGCTAGCCTCTCTTAAAAATCACACATGATACTATTGTTATTTTGCTCTACCGTACCGTACTCCAGCGCTAGCCGTCAATGGTTTACAGTGAATGACGAATGACTGCTTGGTGGATTGATCGTGCTCCTGCTTGCTTACAGACAAGGCCAGCTCATCTCAAGGCCAACGTAGGAGTACATGTGCCACCAGTGGATGATAGTACGGCAGATTATCATACACATACTATTAGTATGTACCGTACATTCTGATCAGTTGGTTTTGCAATGACTGCGTAGAAAAACGAGTACGAAACGGAACGTTTCAAGACTGCATGGAATCGCGACTTCCGTTCTCTGCCCAGTAAGTTCTGCTGGATTCGATTCGATTCAATCAGATAGCGTGGCTGGCGCAGTTCAATTTTGAGCTGTAGATCCACCATGCAGTCCATCCTGCTTGTACAACAACTGTACAACTCACTCAATCTTTCCCTTCATAATTTTTCGTTCTCGGAACCCTGAAAGCCTAGACTACTTGTATATCAAGATGCATTTGCAGACTCTCGCCACGACCATGGGATTTTTTACTTTGGAATCTGTCTGGTGGTTCCTCTCCATTGGAGGAATTGTCGGCATTGCTCTTACTTGTGCATGGGCATTAACACTTGCAGTGATCCTCTACCAAGCGAAACCATTGACAAAGCGAGCAAGCTTCCTTAAGCCTGCAATGACTGAACAGCAGAAGAGGGAATGTCTGAAGGACTTGGACAAGATTGGAAACCGCTGTGGCCTTGACAATCTCTGGAAGACTATGGCTGCCCCTACCGGTACCGGTACCGGTACTACCGTGCTCCTGACAGGAGTTACAGGCTATGTCGGTCGATCTGTCTTGCTGCAACTCTTCCAATGCATTGCCGCTAACTCCCACCCAGACAAGACCAACACCAAGATCATCCTGATGGTTCGACCCGAGAAGAGGGGGGCTGGTACTGCTCAGGACCGTGTGGACAAGCTACGCCAAGAAGACATCTTCTCTGACATTCCAAGGTCCCTGTGGGATTCTGTAGTGTCCGTCGTAGAGACCAACGGTCTTGCAGAAACGAATCTTGGCTACTCCAAGGAAGGATTGCAAAAACTCAAAGAAGCTAACATTACACACGTTGTTCACAGTGCCGCAGACACGGCCTTCAACAAAGACTTGGCTTGTCTGGCCGAGTCAAACATCACGTCAGCGCTTCAACTACAGGCGTTCGCACGAGACTGCCCAAGCTGTCAACGCATGACTTTCATTTCCACAGCGTTTGTCAACCCTGGAAAAGGAACTCCACAAGACCCTTTGCCAGAAGCTCTGGTGCCTCTGCATGGATATGATCCTATCGAACTATACCAGTCCATGCGTGGAAACCAGATCCTGGCTCGTCAAGTCAGAGATCTACTGGGATTCTACAACAACTACACATTCTCAAAATGCGTCGTGGAACACCTACTCTCTCGCCAAGATTCATCGTCATCATCGTCGTCAGATCTGCTACAGACCAGCATTGTCAGACCAGGAATCGTTGGTCCTGCCTTTGCATTGCCCCGACCTGGTTGGAACGGCGCCATGCCTTCCACCGTCACTGCATACTCTGTCATGTGGATGTCCCGACTCATCAGAGTCAGCCGATCCAACATGGAACCATTCCCACAGATACCAGTTGACGTTGTCGCGGTTGGGGTCGTCAACTCAATGCTTCAAGACCCCACCAATCATTCAGAGGTCAACATCCAAAACCTTGTCTGGGACGCACAATCCAACAAGAAATTCGTCTCGTCGGAAACTCTCATACGCACAGGCATGACTTGGTGCACCTTCAACGGGCACTTTAGCTTTCTAGAAATCGCTCTCATGCTCACACTCAATGACTTGGCAAAGGCACGTCCAGCTTGGGCCCCGGCTTTGCACGAGATCTTCAACAAGGGACCACTTCGGATCTTGAAACTTATTCAAGACACCTTCCGCTGGATTGGAATCAAGGTCGCGCCTGGCTTTCCCGCCGCAAAGATGCTCAAGTTTGTTGACATAGGATCTCTCTATGATCCATTTGTCGCGGGCTCATTCTACTTCCGCAGCACCATGCAGATCCCAGAAAGCTTTGACGTGGACCGATACGTTGCGGAACAGCTCCAAACAACCAGCAACTTTTTACGCGAGTTGAAAGCACGAGGCAAAAAGGGAAGCAAGAAGGATAATCCTTCGGGGTTGAAATCCGCACCAGTCCAGTCGAATGAGTTGCAACTGGCTCCACCTGGACGGTGGGATCTCTGGTGGGCACTGACACAGCCAAGTGGGAGTCTTGCTGTTCGAGTGGTGTGCTACTTGGCAAGCAAGGTCTTCCGAGCCGTCTACGGAGACTCGTCGTTGGATTTGGAGACTGCCGCTGCTCTGCTGGATGGATTGCCGAAAACAGACCGAAAAACAAAGATCGTTCTTCTTCCAACATTTAGCTCCCCCGCGGATATCATCCTTGTCCTCTACATTGCATTTGCATTCCCCTTGCTTGGAGTTCCGATCCCGACTATCTTTGCAGAAAGGCCCTTTCGTGGTGTCATCCTTGCCGTGGTCGCCCAATGCTGCAATATCTACTCGGTCGGCGAGGCTCCAAGGAAACATCTGCAGGACAAGGCCGTCGACGCATCACTGGCCATTTTCTTGGGAGAAACTCAAAGCCTTGAAGAACAAGCTGGTCTGGAGACAACCGCAGTACATGTACTTCGTGCGCTGCAATTGAGTCGGGAGGACTCCGAGCACGTCTTGATTCCCATGTGTATCCACCATGACCGTGTTCTGGACGAGACCTCGCAGCAAGAAATGAAATGGCATCACGTACTCAAATACTTCTTCACTGCTTTGGCTGGAACGGAGAGAACCGACCTTGGAAGTGTCAAAGTGTCGTTTGGGAAAGCTGTGGTCATGGATCGGGCCTCTGACGTTCCTGCAATCTGTGCCAGCATTCAGAAAGAGCAACGCTTGGTGTCACAAGTGACCGACTTCGTACCGGACGAGGAAGAAAACAGCCTCTGTCTGACAGAGGAATCCAGCACATCCAACTTTTCTGAACTGAACAACGGGAGCGGCACAATCGAGCAAAGCCATCAGTTTGACACCAATGACCCCATCACAACTGAGACGGCGACGAGGAAAACGGCCCCAGCAAAGGCAGAAGAGAAGTTCCCTTTGCTTCCGCTTCGGTGGTATGTCGTCCCCCTGTTGGCTTTCCTCGCATACATGTTGTCACCCTATGCGATCTATGTCAGTGCATTCTATGTTGTGACTTGGACAGCAAGCCCAATCGCGGATTGGCATATTGTCAAGTTAGCCCAACGGAGTTTAAGTGGCAGATACGGCAATCTTCCTCTTCGCTTCAATCTCACAGGCATTGCCATCCTTTCTTGGCTGGTCTTTGTGAGGTATCCACTGGAAACTGTTCTTTGGTATCTTGATGAGATTCTGTTTCCAGGCTACAGCAGAACAACGATTGAGGAACCCTTGCTCATCTTGGGACAGCCTCGCTCTGGAACAACCAAGTTCCAGGATGTCCTGTCAGCCGATCAAGATACATTCTGCTCCATGTACCTGTATGAGATGCGGTACCCCTTTCTTACGGTTCAGTATCTCGTGGATATCATGTTCAAGATGGACCAGAAGTGCTTGGGTGGACAAGGTTACAAGTTGGCACTTGGCTTGGGTCTCCTGTATGTTTTGCCTGAGACGGGAGAGCGGAAGATGATGAGGCGGCTTCGATACGACTTGCCAGATGAAGATGACAATCTTTTCTTGTTTCACGGCCCAGCCCACTTTGCATTGACTGGAGTGTTCCCCTCAGAAGTGAGATCACTCTGCCAATTTCGTGATCTTCCCAAAACAACCCGTATTCGCATGATGCGGTTCCATCAGAAAGCGGTCCAGAAGGTCATGTACCGTCGTGGAAGAGGCAGGCACTACCTTTGCAAGTGGGTTGCTGGTTGGAATGGTCTTCTGGATGAAGCCAAAGTTGTATACCCCGATGCTAAGCATGCAGTGATTGTGAGGGACCCCAGGGAACAGTTGCCTTCTTGGATGAAGCTGCAGGGCTTATTGAGCGAGCAGCTAGCCGGGCACAATGTGATGAAGATGCCTGAAGTGAGGAGTGCAGTCATTGACATCAATGTTCAATGGCACCAGACACAGGCTGAGTTTTGTGCTGCCTCTGCAGGCAAGAACAACCTACAGATCATCCAGTTTGACGACTTTGTGGAGAACATTCCCAGAGAGGTTTCAAAAGTGTATGACTTGCTTGGTCTCTCGGTCCAACCTGGCTCTGCCTTTCACGATTCCTTGGGGGAAGCTCATCGTAACCAATCCAAGCACAAGAAGACTGTGATCAGAAAAGAAGAGGAGTTCATTACGGAAGAAGAGATCTTGTCCCGGTTTCCTCCTCTTCGAACATAGCTAGGCAGCCTTTCAGCCGCTATAGTCAAGTCTAGCTATTCATTCGTCCATTAGAAAGTTCGCCTCTTACGTCCTAATAGTTTCGTCTATAGCGGGTGTAATCGTACAGTCGTACGGTAGTGCGCTGTTGCTGGTGCGTTTTGGTAATAATGCATTCTCCTTATCGTAAATTTCATAAACTCATATCCAACATTTGGTTTTGAGACACTTCAAGGCAGCCTTCGCCTTTTCTCCTCCATGGCTATTCTCGAGAGCGTTCTGGTAGGCGTCCAGGACAGCCAAGTTCGTTGCCGAACAAACTACGTTTCCAACGTTGTGGCATCCTCCAACTCGTTCGATAAAGAATGCGAAGGCGCGCTCATTGACGCACCAATGCTGTATAGGGCACTGTTCTTGTGGATCATCCGTACATGGCATTGGCTCTTGCATCCAGTTAGGTTGTCCCGTGAGTGTAAAAAAGTTTTCCTTTGGTCCCTTGGATTGCTCTTTCTTTTTGTTTCGAAAGAAGGAAAAGAAGGACAACTGGCGATGGTTTTCGTCTAGACTTTCGTCGTCATCGTCGTCGTCATCGTCGTCATCAATATTCTCGCCTTGTTCATCCTCGTAGATCTCAACCTCGTCGTCCGGCGCCGTTTCAAACGTTGGAAACGTGGAGAGATCGACACAAATCGGATGCGATCTCGAGTCGAATTGGAGATGGGCACAACGACCATCACGTTCGAGGCCCGTAACCGCCATGCCTTCGGTACTGCACGCCTCCAGGTTCATACCAAACACATTCTCGTCGCCAGTCGAAAAGTGAGAACCCAAAATCGTCGGAAGACACGCAATCAAACACAGACACGAATAGAAAAGCGAGATCAGGAGGTTGCTACATGTACTTCTAGATATAACCATTCTCATTCTCATTGCTGTGGTTGTTGCCATGGTGGTTTATGCTGACTTAGCTTTGTGCGCTGCTCATTGCCGAGCAAATCCATTGGAATGACTCCAGACGAGCACTGGGATAGCTCGAGGTACATGTATGCATATGCTCGGTACATATAAATCATCGAGATAATAATAAAATTATTGAATGCTCACTGGACATTGGATTTTAGACAGAAGAACGAAACAACGTAGTAGCTAGCACAACAGCGAACTATTGCAAACAGAAAGGGGGAACAAGACTTTCCAAGGTTTGGCGTTGCTTGGATGCAACCATTCCGTGGGTATTGAGAAAGTCAAGTTAATGCCCAAAGATAAGGATAGGAGCTGCTAAGCTGCTAAGATAGGTAACCTGCTACAGATTAGTGTTGCTTTGCCTCTGTTGCAGCCAGTACAGGCGGTACCGGTATCTAGGTACTGGTAGGTATGGTAAGATGGGTAGAATGGTCCGTACCGATACCGAAGCCCACAGCGTTATTACATGTGCATGTACGCATGTACTTCTTGCTGGAGCGGGTCGACAGTTCCAACTTCCAATAGTTCTTCCAATGACGGCCAAAAAGAACTTCGGTGGTGTAATTAAGAGAACTAAAATGTGATTGAAAGGAAACTCCGCAATCCTTGAGTCGCAAGCAATTCAAGAACAAATCAATCGCTCTTCCGGCTATACTTTTACGGTAGATCTACGGTACTCGACCGGATCGGACCTCCTTCCATCCCACACAAAACTGCACCCCGTATCCACAGGGTCATTATTTTATTTTAGATGGAAGCAAAGATCTTGAAGGTTGCTGATATCTCCTCGGAACAACCCACAGTGTCGCTCTGGCTATCCAAACACCCAAACCATCATTCCAGCCCGAAGGCTTTGCCCTTACCGCGGTCCGCAGAACTAGCTAGTGGTTGCTCAACCATCGCTCACGCACCTGTCCACCTAGTCTAGTCGACAAGCCACCCTTTCTCAGAAAAGAAATAATAAGTAACTGAACAAGGAAGCAAACAACATTCAAAGCCATGCCATTACTATTGGGGATTAGCAAGCAGCTAGTGCCGGTAGCTTTCAGCCAGCATATACTGACTGTCACTATCTAGCAGCGCAACGGAGTAGATTCGTATTATAGTTATGCATATAGACTAGTTGAGGGAGCGCAGTTAACATCAAAGTTTATGTGCTAGCCAACTAGCCAGATCATGTAGGATCATGTAGTCTATGTTGTCTCCTGCGTAATGTACTAATAGACGTCGATCACGGTTTGTCTGGCAACCAGCACTTGAGTCTTAGGCACTCAAGAGCTTGCTGATTCTTTTCGTGCTCATTACTGGTACCATCGTATACTTCTTGTTGGTAGAGTTCGATGGCTTGCTTGTTGGTGCTCTGACAAAGTATTCGTCCCACCTTTTGACATCCGCCGACATAGTCTACGTACTGGGCAAAGGCATCTTCGTTGATGCACCAGTGTTGAACGGGGCAGTTTTGAGTAGGATCTTGAGTACAGGGCATGTCTTGGTGCAATGAGGCAACCTGTCCCGTGGCCGCAAAGAAGTTTCCTCCGTTGCGCAAATGGTGATTATGGTCTTCCCAGTACGCCTTGGAGAAGGAAGGCACATCTATGCAAATGGTCTTGGAGATCTCTCCATTGCGCAGATAATCAAAATGAACACAGTGGCCAGTGCCTGTGATACCCGTCATGGCCATCCCGGCCGTACTGCAACTTTCCAACTCCATGCCAAACACATTCGTGTTCTTCTCCTTGACTGCCATTACCGTTGACAGCAGAAACGATGGCAGCAGTATCAACAGGAGGAGATACATGGTCGCGATATACATGTGCCGGTATAGCATTGCTAGAAGATGAGACTGGCTTGAGCGATAACCACTTATGCATGCGAGTAGGGTACCGGTAACAGCTTGATTTGTGTGAGAGAAATGGTGAAAGCAACGATCTGTTCGCTCGAGATGCTCAATTGCTTCCAACCATCACTTTGCAAGAATTATAAAAATTCCTGCGTTTTACAGCTTGACTGGGTTGAATTGCCAGCCACCATAATGTCCTCTCCTTTTCACAGCAACTGT